ACACACAGATCTGAGACCAGTCCTCCATCTTTTCTCTCAATGTGTGTGTCAGGACCCATCGTGTCGCATGTCAATCGCAGCGCTGTCTGCAGCGGCAGAGGCGTGGTACACCAAATACCACACGGCCGACACATCATCGGCCCAGCAGACCGCCGAGCATCCCCAAAGGGCTGATACACACTCAGCGCCCTCATCCAGGTCCTCATCCCTGCCTCATCCCACTGCCCCACCCCCGCCCTCTCTTCCCCCTGCGCACACACCGGAGCCCTTCACCACAGCACCCACCACGGCATCGCCATCCCAGCGGAATGGTGGTCAGAGTCTGCAGTCGCCCCAGGTGGCGTGCACGATCGCAATCGAGGGCGGCGAGGGCGGGCAGCGGCAGAGACGTCAGTGGCGGGCTGAGGAGACCAGCCAGGATGGCCACACCGGCATTGGGGCGATTCAGCAGAGGCCGTGGAGGGTCGAGGGCCAGGGCCAAGGCGGCAGTGAGGGCTCGCCGCTGAGAGCCAACAAACCCTTCACGCCCGTGGAGGAGGTGCCGCTGATGGTCATCCCTGACCACATCCGCAACTACCGGCCCAGGATGATGCGGTTCAGCAACGATAGAGACAAGGGCCAGGAGAAGTCGCCGGACCATCATCCCCTGCCGCCCCCATCACCGGCCTTCCCTTCTCGGGGATACCCCCAGCCACCGATCGGGGCTGGCCCGGCCGACCAGTCACCTGAGAATGCGTCGCCCACTGCTCTAAGCGATCTCTCCCCGTTCGCCAGCGCCGCACAAACGAGGCGGGCCCGCCAGAACCAAGACCTCTCACCCCCGTCCTTTCCCCCATTCACGGGCGGGAGACACATCTTCGAGCCCTCAATGTCCCCCAGCAGCGTGTCGTCATCTCTGCGCGACTACCCGGCATACGAGCCGCCCCGGACAGTCCCGCCTGAGCGTCGGGATGAGGTGCTCAGGCTGGTCGGCACAGCCCAGCCTCGCAGCCCCCAGATTGACGATCGACGTGGGAGGGTTGATGCGTGGGACTCGAGAGGCTACTGCGTGGCGGGCATGGGCGACGGTGGGCGTGGTAGGGATTGGGGCTCGCCGGCAGGGCAAGAGGGTGGCCGACGTGGCTGGACCGCGGCCTCCGTTACGCAGCAAAACACGTCATGGTCCCGAGCAGAACCACGGCTGCTGGAAGACGCGGCGTCCCCCACGAAGAGCGGCGCTGCTGTGGGTTCCTGGCAGACGCAAGACGTGCGAATCGATCTAGCCGACGACTCCCTGCAGTCCCTGGACACCACTTTCAGCCGCGCTCGCCGCCCACAGCCTCCTGTCTCACGCCAAGACCGCCTTCCCTTCCCCCACCCCGTCGTGCCATTCGCCCAACAGAGTGCTGGCGAGGCATCCCCCAGCCACCTCGTGCACCGCCCCCGGGCTGCCTTTCCGCATGCAAAGTCGGACGAGTCGCCGTCTTCGGTCGGCCGTAGGGTGGTGGATTATGGCGTGCGGACGGCCTCTGCAGAGGAGACAGGAGCCTCATTTGTCGGTGGCATCAGAGGCAGGAGGGCTCAGCCGGGTCTACAGGGGGTATTGGTACCGCTGACGGACCCCTTTCAACACGCTGGCAGCCCTACCAGCTGCCAGGTGGGGGTCCTTCAGCCTCCGGCATTCGCCAGCATCGCCGGCTTCCAGCATCGATGGGAGCCCGCCTTCTCTCCGACCGCCCAGCAACCTAGTTCCCGGCAGTACCACCACTACTACCAGCCACTGCGTGACGCCCAACGCAGCGTGAGTGCCATGCCCAGTCGTGGGCGATTGGAGGAGGAGGAGCAGCCGCGGCAGAATGCCTACCAGCACATCGCCATGGATCGCACCGCGCATCGGCATCGGCATCAGCAGCAGCATCACAGCTATGCCCCCACATCCCCCTGGCAGCACCACGAGTACCCCAGAAGAGGCGACCATGCCCTCGCTCACTCGTACAGGTCAAGAACGCCTCTTGATCTGTCCCGCTATGGCAGCCAACGTGACGTCAGCCCCCTGCCCAGCCGCGCGCACCATGAACACGCCCCTTCGTCTGCTCAAGCCATGGGTGGCCGACCGCGGCTGGATGAGAGGGGCGGCTTGGCTGGTGGAGGATATGAGAGACACGAGAGGCACATACCGTTTGCGTACGGCCATGACCCCTACCCTCATCCCTCGCCTGCCTTCCCCAGCGGCAAGAGAGATCCCTTCTCGTCGGCTGGTGCTGCAGCTCCTCCTCCTGCTGCCACATCATTCACCAGCACGCCGGTGGAGAGCGGCGCGGGGCGTTCGGTGCAGGGGTCGCTCACGCCGACCTACGCAAGCCCGAGACAGAGGGAGACGGGCGGCTTTGCGTCCCACCACCCAGCGTACCAGAATAGCTATGCCACGTATGCATCACAGGCGGCACTGACACAGACACATGGGGGGCGGAGAGGGGGAGGGGGGCCATCGCATAGCGCCGGCGGGCAGCGTAGTGCGGCGAATCTGTATGAGTACTCGTCCATGAGACAGGCGAATGGGTCGAAGAGATAGATAAAAAGGTGGAGGGATGAGTGGAGTGGAGTGGATCGTGTGTTGGCAACTAGCATAATGGGCACGGATGCTCGTGTGTTGGATGGGGCTTGGGCGCTCGGTGTCTCTCTCATCAATTTCCTGTCGGATGGCAGCATTTGCCTTGTGAAGTCATCAATCATCCCTCCAAGCACATTTCACCACAATAGGCATCAGTATCAAACCAAGGCACAGTCCAATATAAACCCGCCGCCCTTTCTGGGTCCCACCGAACGAACGTGTGCAGTGTCTGCGAGGCATTCAGCCAGTCATTCAATATGCAACGACCCACCATCCCATCCCACCACACACATATCCTCCCCGCGGCCGGGGCGTGACATTCTAGCCCCAGCGGACATCCAGGCCCGTCATTCGTCCGCCCCGGCACTACCGCGGCCGCAGGTTACTGGGGCATCACGCGTCCCTTCCTCCCTCTCCCATATCCCACACCACGCACACAAATGCAGGAACAGTACCATGTACATGTGTGTCGTTCTAGGTGCAGTTTGTACGTTGGTTTGTTCGTTCCTCGATGAAGGTGTGGGTGAAATGAGATGCAATGGGAGAATCTGCCGCTTAAAGAATAAATATCGTCGCGTATATTTACACAACAGAGTGATACATTTCTCGACACAACAAAAATTTACAGAAAGGACAGGAGACGGGAGGGGATTGCTTCCATACCCTCTCCATTCCCCCTTCGGGTGCCCTTTTGCGTCCCGGCAGATGCAAATGGGCATGCCGCGATGGAGGGGTAGCTCGAGGACGAACGAACGAAAATATGGCGGGTCGTTGGACTCGCCCTACATCCATGCAGGCAGCCCGAAGGCTGATGCAGCCACGACACGCGTGTGCCTCAGGCAACGCTCCTGCTGAAACGCAAGATGCAATTCACACTTTTGCAATGATATACGCCAAGAGGGAGGGGGGGACACATTTTATACGCCACAACGCGAAGGCTCGACCATTTTATACGGCCCTTGACTCAGTCATGAGGCGCAGCGGCTGAGGATCCCCCGAATGCCACAGCACCACACAGTGGGTACTGTGGGAGACACGAGGAAACACCCGCTGCATGTATGGCCATAGTCGGCTACATAAGGGTTTCGTTGCCATTCACTGCCCCAGGCTGGTTCAGTCTTTCAATTGCCGTTGAGTCATGAGCCATCAACCAGTCAAACAGCTCGACCGCGTGACAGCTCGGAAGCTGTCGCAAGCAGCGACACCGTCAGTACAGACTGCACACACCATACCGAAGAGATAGTTGAGTTGAGGAGCGTGTAGACAAGGGCATCAGCAGACCACAGACCATCTTGCTCTTCTCTCCGGACCTCTTGTCTCGGGTGGGATCGCCTGTAACCAACAGCGTCCGCCTAGACGGGGTGCATGCAGCAGCCTGGCCCGTGAGCTGCCGTAGCCTCTCGCCTATGCTGACAAGCCGTGATTCTGGTCACCCTGAATTGCCTTGCCGATGAGTACACGCTAAGCTCCGCCAGATGCGACTCTTGCTCACTTACCCTCGGCTGCCCGGCTGACCGTTGAAGTATGAGTGAGCTGTGAATACGAGTATACACTGTTCCAGCTGCATGCATAGCTAGTCAAAGCTCGGCTCGTCTGTCAAGCTGGTCATAAGCGCCCATTTCATGACATTGGTTGGTGTGTAGGTGTGTGTGTAGGGGTGTGTGTGTGTGTGTGTGTGTGTCTGTGTGTAGGTGTGTGTGTGTAGGTGTGTAGGTGTGTGTCTGGGTGTAGGTGTGTGTAGGTGTGTGTGTGTGTGTGTCTGTGTGTAGGGGTGTAGGTGTGTGTGTAGGGGTGTGTGTGGGTGGGTGTGTAGGGGTGTGTGTGGGTGGGTATCTGGGTGTGTGTGTGGGTGGGTGTCTGGGTGTGTGTGTGGGTGGGTGTCTGGGTGTGTGTGTGGGTGGGTGTCTGGGTGTGTGTGTGGGTGGGTGTGTGTGTGTAGGTGTGGGTGGGTGTCTGGGTGTGTGTGTAGGTGGGTGTCTGGGTGTGTGTAGGTGGGTGTCTGGGTGTGGGTGGGTGTCTGGGTGTGTGTGTAGGTGGGTGTCTGGGTGTGTGTAGGTGGGTGTCTGGGTGTGTGTGTCTCTGTGTGTGCGTGTAGGTGTGTGTGTCTCTGTGTGTGCGTGTAGGTGTGTGTGTCTCTGTGTGTGTGTAGGTGTGTGTAGGGGTGTAGGTGTGTGTAGGTGTGTGTCTGTGTGTGTGTAGGGGTGTAGGGGTGTAGGGGTGTAGGTGTGTAGGTGTGTGTGTAGGTGTGTGTGTGTAGGTGTAGGGGTGTGTGTAGGTGTGTGTGTAGGTGTGTGTGTGTGTGTAGAGGGGTGTGTGTGTGTGTGTGTATGTGTGTGGTTGGTTTAGTAGGTGCCTTCATTACCGTTGAATGAGTCTGCTGCATGGATGAGCTATCGACGTGAGAGTGTCCGTAAGGTTGAATTACTACGATTAAGACACTCCGGTAGTCTACCGTCTTTTACACACTCTACCGTGTCCTGTTCTCCCACAAGTATACCAGCACTCCAAGATAACAATAGAAAACCAGCGCCAAGCAAACAGAAAAGCAGCGCCAAGCGAACAGAGGCCACGTCATGTTGTGCGAGTAGAATCAACTGCTCCAGCAGCTCGGCAGCAGCCGAACAGGCAAACGACGAAATAAAAAGACCGCAGAAGATCTCTGCATGAAGACACACGCCATGTGCTTTCTCGTCCGGTGTCTCTCCTTGTCTGGCTTGCAGCTCACCTTGAAAGGCTTGCCTCTCCTCAAGAGCGAGAAGGTCCAGCTCGTCCACAACCCCTCACTCCTCTCTCTGAAGGTCAGGACATAATCAAGGAGCCGAAGAGCTGCCTGCTTGTACAGCACCGAAGATGTTCGACATCTCCGCGGGCCGTGGCAGACCAACGAGAGGGATGAGGCCGAAGAGAGTGAATGACGACGAAGCACACAGCAATGGCGACCAGCGTCGCCTCCCTGTTTCTTGCTCCACGCAGAAGCTCTTCTATCAGCCGCTCGTCTTCGCAAGGCGAACCTCCTTCAATGCCCTCTTGTCAGCTCTGCCGGTTCCTCAGCGGTGTTGACACCCGACTGCAGCTGTTGGCGGTTGCTTCGCGGCTCTTCGCCGCTGCGTGACTGGCACACACTGATTGGTTCTGCCTGACGGCTGTAGACCTCGGCCAGCTGCCGGCTCTTGCTCAGCCGCTCTGCTGCTCCATACAGCGGCTGGCTGAAGGTGGGCAATAGAGGAGCCGAATACAGAGTGTTCAGCTCGGCGCTGCCGCGGCGTTCATCTGCGCTGTCCTTCATCATCCCGCCTCCGTCCTGCAGGAGGTGAGTGTCGACTGCAATGGTGGCCGGCGTCGCCGCGATCGTACTCGCGTGAACACGCCGCAAGTGGACTTCATCCGAGTTGTTTCCACAAAGAAGGGAGGGAAGAAGGCGAGCTTAGCTCGCAAAGGAGAGGGAAGGGGAGAGGCGAAACTACGACGCTTGCAGTGCTATCCCCCTCACCCCTTCCCTGATCTACGCCATTTCTGTCGGCGGTTGAGTCGCACCTGAGCTGACCACAAGACCATTCGGCCCTGTGCGAGATGGGATGTGCGCCGGCTCTCGTGGCTGATGAGGCGTCCTGGGCGTGCCAGATCTGCTGCTGCTGTGGTGCAAGGCGCGGGGCCTTATCGCGAGGAGCGGGAGATCGCCAGAGGGAGCGGACGGGTGATTGCAGCAGTGTGTGTGTGGGCTTCAGGCAGCAGGCGAGACCATTTTCAGAGAATGCCGCTGATTGGCCGATCTATTAGCTCGCGGATGCAACAGGTGGTAATTATGTCACTACAGCCGCGTCGAAGCACCAGATCTCGCCCTCAGCCGGCCGAGGGCATGGGGGAGCCGTCATCCAAGAAGCAGAGGCTCGAGGGTCGCGTCACCCGTTCGCTGCGCGTCAACGCCCTCTCTAGCGTCTTCTTTCACCCGTGTGGGTCCCTCGACGACTATCGCAAGCCGCCGGTGACGTTCTCGCCCTCCTTCGCCAACCACTTCTTCGACACCGACCAGGTGATCATGGGATTCGAGGAGCTCGCAGTCCGCATCTACTACATCCCGGACACCTTTGACCTGTTCGTGAAGGTGGAGGGCGAGAGCCCGTCCTTCCAGGCCTCCCGCAAGCGCGTCATGGACCGCCTGGCCATGGTGCCCTTCCCCGGCGGCTTTTGCCCTTCGGAGCATGACTTCGTCGCCAAGCTGGAGTGCCGGACGACTCGTGGGTGGCCATTCCTGCCGCCGGGGGAGCGGGTGGGGGTGTTGGGGCACACGGCGGGGGCGGGGGATGAGCAGATCGAGGTGAGAAGGTGCACGTTTGCCGATAGCGGGTTCCAAGTTGCTGCACTCTCGGATGGAGTGGTTCCTGCACTGGTTCATCAACGGCGCATCGGCGATCGAGCAGGACCAGCGCTGGCACGTCTACCTCGCGTACAAGCGGCCCCTGACGTCGCCCGGCGGCGGTGACTACCCGTCCAACAGCCGCAAGCTGAGACCCCGTGCGTCGAGCGGGCCGGGGTGTCTGAGCCTGTGTGGATTTGCCACCGCCTACACGTTCTGGAGCCCGTCGACATCGAGAAGGCGCCTCCGGCTCTCGCAGTTCCTCATCTTCCCGCACTACCAGAGAAAAGGTCAGTGCGATGCACTGCACGGAGACGGGGATGGGAGAGCGGCATTCTCTGTCTTGTGTTGTGTTGTGTGTGCAGGAGTTGGTACGGAGTTTTTGCAGCTGATCTATCAGCAGACCCTGGACGATACCAAAGTCGGGCAGGTAACACCAACCGACAGAGCGCAACACCACCACACCATGAGACACGTCTTTCCCCCTCCCCCTCCCTCCCCGCCCCCTCCCTCTGTGTGTGTGATCCATCCATCCACCAGATGGGTGTCGAAGACTCTGCCCCGGCGTTCGTCCAGCTGCGTGACGTCGTGACGGTCAAGGTAGCCATCGATCGCAACGTCGTGTCCCCCCTCGCACTCTACCCCCCACCCCCAGGGGCAGAGATACCCAGCTCGGCATCAGCGGCCGTCCCGGCCAGCAGCGGCCTGGGCCTTACCAACGGCCAGTCCCAGTCCGAACTCCCCCTACACTGGACGCGCAGCCGCACCCGCGCCCTCCACAACGCCCTCAACGACACGGGGGCGTCGAGTGGCGGGCGGCCCCCGCGCGACAGCACCAGACGCGGGAAACGGTCGGAGTCCGACGTGCTCCCGGCCGGCCTCATGATGCCCAACGGTGTCCCTGGTGCATCGTCGGCAGCCGCAGCCGCGTCGGCGAGTGCGGCGTCTGGTGGCATGTCCCGCCGGAGCCAGAAGCGCCGGCGGAGTGTGGGGGATGGCATGGACATCGACAGCGGTGTGCCGGCCGTGGCCGCCAGGGACGTGGGTATGAGCACCAGGAGCAGGAAGAGGGGCAGGGATGGCGGCGAGGCCAATAGCAGTAGTGCAGCAGCAGCAGCAGCCGCAGCAGCCGCTGGGGGTGGCGGTGGTGGTGGTGAAAGCCACCATGGCACCGGTCGGTCGGGCATGACGTCGCGCGGGGGGCGAGGGAAACGGTCTGTGGACAGGAGCGAGGGGCGGAAAAAGGTCAGTCAGTGAGCGGCACACAACAACACGACGAAAGTGCGTCATATGGTTTGAATCCTGTACGGTCTGGTGTGTGGGTGTCCGTCCGTCCGTCCCGTCCATGGTGGATGCAGAGGAAGGTGGATGCAGAGGAAGGTGGATCCGGATGCGGGGCAGCCGAGGATCGATGACCGCTACACCGTCCATGACATTCGTAAACAACTCAGACAGATCAAGGCCCATTGGTCATCGTGCCTTGCATGTGTGGATGTATGTGTGTGTGTTCGGTTCAGCGTGTGACGGCAATTGTCTGTTTCGTTCGGTGGCGGATCAGATGTACGGCGACCAAGACCTGCACGGACTCGTCCGCACCAAGTGCATGGAGTACATGGTCAGTCGGTCCGGTCCACAACACACAGATACATACTCCACTCCCAGAGGGCGACAATCAATCAGCCCAATGTCTGTATGCTATGCATGCAGGAGGCCAACCGTGAGTATTTCCAGGAGTTTGTGTGGGGAGAGCGTTTCGAAGAGCACGTCCACCGCATGAAGCAAGACAGAGGTCAGCCAGGGAGCGGGGGAGGGAGGGAGGGAGGGAGGGAGGGGTGACGCGTGTATATCGTCATGGTTACGTCTCACTGTGCTGTGCGGTGTTGATTGATTAGAGTGGGGCGATGAAGTGGAGATCCAGGCCATGTCGCAGATGTACGACTGCAGAATAGAAATATACGACGCATCCACCAGCGGTACCGTAGCCACCTTGATTGACAGACACCTAGGCAGCAAAACACACACACGTTCACACAGGCATGTCATGTGCCCGCCCTCTGTCGCTGCGCTGTCCTTTCAGAGTTGCGTCACCAGACGTGCAGCGCCTGCAGTCCCCACCCAATGCGGCTCTCACACCTCAGCGGCCTGCACTACGACTCGGTCACATAATCTGAGAAGCAACCAACGACCCAGCCATCCATCCGACTGATGCGACTGTGCGTTGTGTGTGCCTACATCAGATTGTCCTCTGTCACGGCCAGCGCCCCCTCACCACGGCTGCACCAGGCGTAAGACACGCTAACGGGGCTTTCGCAAAGGCGTGTTTGTTGATCATTGCTGGCTCTGGCTGGCTGTCTCACTCAGTCTGTGGAGAACCGGGCCATCAGGCGACACAGACGCCGACAGGTGAGTGACAAGCCAGCGAGGAGTAGTGCAGTCGAGCTGTTAACAGGTCTGGCTGTCTTGTGTGTCCGTGACCTGCATGTCGCGGTGCAGGGGGACGCCATGCAGCCTCACGTCATCCCCAGCATCGACTGCCTCGCCCTCAACGTCAAGGAGACCGAGCAGCAAGCCACGAGGTCGGTCGACACTGACGCAGACACCTGCCTTACGCACACACACTATCCTCCCCTCCCTCCCTGCCTCCTGGCTGCGCATATCGTTGGCTGGCATCTGTCAATTAGGATGACGGAGGTACTGCAACTCGCTTGTCTGCTGCCGCACCCCCTGCCGGCAAAGATCCCGCCCTCCTACCTGGCTCCTGGTAGTGGCGAGGAGGCTGACAGCCTGCTCGACAGCCTCCGCCTACCGCCTGAGTGTCGAGGAGCGGCTGCGCAAGGACATCAACGAGCCCCATCCCGTCTCAAAGGACAAGGTGAGTGAGTGACGGAGGGCGGTCAGCCAGGCAGACAGGCAGGGAGGGAGACGGGTAGTGAGGCTGGGAGGGAGGCATTAGCCATGGCTGCCGTAGAACAGTAGCACGGTAGCTTTGTGTGCGGGGTCACTGTCTGCACTGTTTCCCCTCTGCTGCTGTGCCGTCATCGATTAGGAGGATCTGCCTTACTTCCGCATGTGTCACATGTGGAACGATGATCGCAACCTCACTGAACAGCAGGTACGGCACACACACAAATGACATTCTTACATCGAGAGTAGGAGAGGAGATGCGATGCGATGCGTGTATGTTTCCACACGAACCATCCCATTACACACATACATGATGGACAGACAGCCGCAGCTGCTGGGCTCACTCGTCATTGTGTGGCGGTGTGGGTGGTTGGTGTGTGTGTGTCGCAGATGAAGAAGGCCCTTAAGGACGAGTGGGAGGAGCTCATGCAGTCTTACTATCAGTATGTCCATCACACACACATGCACACACACACAGACGGGGATGCCACATCTCATCCGTGTGATCTCTGTCCGTTGTGTGATGGGTGCAGGACCATCAGGAAGCTGCGCAAGCTCTTCCCGCCGCCCCGACACATCAACAACAAGAGGGCGGCGGACACTCAGCTCGATGAGGGAAGACAGCGAGGCGCCAAGGCGCGGAGGAAGAACCATCAGGCGGGCGACGGCAGGAAGCGGCCGAGGGTGACGGCGGCGGATGCTGCGGCGGCCCACAATCCCGCCGACCAGGAGACCACCCTCCCCGCTGCTGCTGCTGCTACCGCTGCCGATGATAATGAGCCCACGCACATCTACAACACACGCAGCAAGAAGCGGAGGGTGACCTGACCCGTGTCGTATGTATGTACTTGACCAGCCGCATGGTGGGCGTGGGGAGGGGAGGGGAGGGGAGGGGAGGCGTGCTGTGCCACCAGTGGCAGGCAGCCACACGTCTGTCTCTCTACCCACGCCCTTGACTAAATCCACGCAACACTCCCACGGACGGACCGCTTCTCGTAGCCGCCTATCTGTCTGTCTGTCTGTCTTGGCTGATGGATGTGTGATGTGTTTTGATTCTGTCCGTCTGGCTGTCGGTCTGTATGTGTGTGTGCGTGGATGGATGGATGGAATGGCATGGCATGGCATGGCAGCAGATAGAGTGCATGCGCCAGAGAGGGCACAACACACACGCACGAACACACACACACACACACACACACGCACGAACACACACACACTCACTCACCACCAATCGACGAGGAAGCAAGGGAGGAACCATAGGTGGATGGATGGATGACACAGTCTGCAGTTATGGTGTCTGTTGTTGTGTGCTGGGTGTGCTTCAATGCACCTTTGGCTGACTGACCGATTTGTCGTGTGATGCCCTTTGTCTGGCACACTGTGATTTGTGTTTGTCGTGGAGTGGATATCTTTTCTTTGATGCCGGTTTAGGAAGAGATAGAGGGCATCTGTGTGTGTGTGTGTGTTTGCCGGTGCGGATGGATGGATGAATGACCGTTGTGCGGGCGGGGTTGCCAGGTCTGGGATCGAGGCATGGATGGGATGGCTGGATGGATGGTCTCACTTTTCCTTTTCGACGGCCACACGATGAGCTAGGCAGCGCAGCAAACACACACACAGAGCCGCTACACACACGTGTGCGCATGGTATTGTATTCCATGACAGACAGACAGACGGACGGACGGACGGCCAAATACCTCGGCTGGTGGGTGGGATGGGTGGGAGATGAGATGGATGGCCGGGTGTGGTGTGGTGTCTGTCGTGGGTTTCATTTTTTCGTCGTCGACCAATCGGTTCTTCTCGCCACTGATGGTTGGCCTGTCTTCTTTTGGAGAATGTCCCTTGTTCTTTCTTTCTTGTGGGTGGGTGGGGGGATGGGCTGACACGGCGGGCCGTTGCGATGATGCGGGACGGGCCACAGCGCAGCTACAGACAGCTACACGGGGGTAATTTTTTGTCCCATTCTCTTGGTGCGTCCAACGAACACTCCCCCTGTTTGCACATCACATTCATGTGTTGGTCCACGCATGGCATGGCATGTGCGGGGGGACTCACGCACCGTCGAAAGAGCAGAGCAGAGGAAGAGCGCTTGTTCGTTCCAACTCTTTTAAGCGGGGGCAGGGCTGGGCAGGGCGTGGCGGGAGAGGGAGAGGTGCGGGGCGGGGAGGGGTGTTGAGGGGCGTCAATGGTTGCATTGCGTACCTGCATGTGTGTGCATGGTTGGGTGAGTGAGAGGTAATTGATGTGATGTATCGGTGGCTGGCTGGACTCTTGATTGAGAGAGAGAGATGATGTGCCTTTTAAGAAAGCTGATAGCTAGCGTGTATGTGATATATAGGACAATTTGTTCATTCGAGCTAGCCAACGAGCTAGCTAGATAGACAGACTGATCAGACACCGAACTGAGACCGACAGCCTGCGGCTTGTCTCTCCTCATTAATGGCATGCCCAGCCCAGCCAGCCGAGTGTCTTGCCTTTTTGTGCGGCCCGTCCGTCCGTCAGATGACCTGGCTGACCTGACAGTTTAGGCGTGCGATGAGCAGATAGATAGTGTACGTGCTTGTGCACTGCACTGACCCGCAGAGCAGGTGTGCATGTCGCGCATGTGTATGTGTATGTGTGTGTATGTATATATGTGTGTGTGATGTGTGTGATGTGTGATGTGTGTGGCGACAGGTAGGGTAGCTAGAGAGAGGCAACCGGTAGTGAGTGCGTCACTTGACGCGGCAACTTGACGTGCAATGCATTTCTGTCAGTGAGTGGATGGATGGATGGATGAGTGCCTTCAGCCGATGATTGAATGGTAGGCAGACCACACACACGTACACACACACATGATTGCACACGGCTTTCATTCCTGTGCATCGTCTGTTGGTGTGTCACAGGTTGCGCGGCTCACCGGACAGACCAATTCTCCAGTGTGGAGGGTGTGCCGGACGAGCCACGCCGAGATTTTGAATCAGTGGGCGGCCGACAACGAGGACTACACCATCACATTATTGCTGACCGAGGAGCAGGTGGGCGACGACGACAGGATGAACACGGTGCTCGTTCCTCGCCTGCAGGCCCTGATCAACCAGCTGCTCGAGGCCGGCGGTACGAATGCCTGTACTCAAAGACATACACATCACTTGAGCCAACCGTCGCCAAATACGGATTCCTGTGTGTGCCTGCCGAGCAGAGAACGAGCAGAATAAGGACAAGAGGGGCGAGCGTAAGCAGAGAGAGGGGAAACGGTCATGCACCTGTGAATGGTACGGATATATGTGAACGTTCTGTTGCTGTGGATATCAGGGGCGTCGAGTCGAGCAAGGGGGTGGATGATGATGGATGCCACACCATGCGGGAGGTGTGGCACGCATGGTCGGGTCTGTCTGTCTGTCAAGTCGGGGGAAGCAATGAGGAAGGGAGACAAGCAAGGATTGTCACGATGATGCAAGGGGGGAGGGGAGCCAGGGGCTGGCGGGGGAGCGGTTGGCTGGCTGGGTGGCTGGGTGGTTGGCTGGCTGCTGACGAAGTCGAGGAGTCTGTGCAAAACAGTGGCCTGGTTGGAGGTGTGCTGCAACGGATACGGTTGGTCTCGGTGTCTCGGTGTCGGTGTGTTGTATACTCACTGTTTGCCTGTTTGCCTGGCTGCAGTAAAATGTGTCCTTGTCGCTGTGGGGGGCTGGGAGGGAGAGACGGAGAGAGAGAGGGAGGGAGGGAGGGAGGGAGGGGTGGGTGCTGTGCGCGGGCTTAAAAGGCCCCTCTGCTGGCTGACTGACGGCGAAAGCGATGGATCGGGCTGACTGACGGTCGGATGGCGGGCACCAGGGAAGGAAGAGTTAAGGGAGGGAGGAAAGGCAGGGCAGGCACCAGGCTAGTGGAGTGGGAGGGAAGAAGCGAGGAGAGAGGTAGGTCCATCATGCATTCGGCGTTGTGTCCATCCATCCATCCATCAGACACTAAAGCACCCCTTTGCAGTCAGTTTGTCGTACCTGTCTGTGTGTCCGTGTGAATGTGCGGTGAGGTAGGTCGTCGGTCGTTGTCCCGTCTGCCCGCAGCAAAGCAAAGGAAAGACGAGTGAGACAGACAGACAGACAGGCAGACAGATGGACTGAACGATCTGTGCCGCATGAATTTGAAGGCGCTCGTGTCGTGTCGTGGGACGCAGCTCTTTTTCGTCAAGGCTCATCCATCCATCCATCCATCAGTCTGTCTGTGTATTTGGTGTAGGTGAATCTGTAAGGCACGACTCCTCAGACCTCGCCGCTCGCGAGAGAGGAAAGCACTAGACTAACTGGTTGGTAGGTAGCAAGCATTTAGTCGTCTGTTAGTCCTGACCTGACTGACCTGATTGATTTCTGATAGGTAGACAGACCCACTGGTGTGTGTGTGTGAGGTGCATGGACTGACTGTTTATCCACTGGCTAGGACTCTGCGTGAGCTCAGTTTAGTCGACTGGCAGACAGACACCTGCTACGTACGTGTTGATGGAACGTTGCCGTGTGAGTGTGTGTTTGTGGTGCATTGGTGGCGACTTGAGGCAGCAACACGATGGATGACCTAACCCCGCGATGATTTATCGATGGCTGGCTGCACTTGTTGCTGTGTCTGATCCTCTTCCTTCGTTGGTTCGTGCCTGCCTGCCTGCCTGATCCATCACTGTTAAACACGGGACGGACAGATGACCCTTGTTGACAGGTCGCTACAATCAGAGCAGAACACTCCCATCAGTCAGGACTGAAGGACTCTTGAGGCAGACAGGCAGGGCATCCTTGCCCACTCAGCCAGAGGGCACGCGCAGCCTTCTGAGTACATGGCGGCGATTGGTTGTGTCGCCACTCGGCACCCAGACGAGCCGCGCGCACGCACCAGCGCGAGCACCACAAGACGCATCCATCCAGGCCAGCCACGGAAAGACCCCCACTTGAGCACAGAACACATCGTCATCACCTGTTGGGCGCCATCCATCCATCCATCCACCCTCCCTCCCTCCCTCCCCCCCGGTCACATCTTGAGCTGCGTCCTCCTGCCGAAATACTGCACCTGCTCGCTCGTCGCCATTATTCCCAGTGCTGGATGCATCGACGGCACCACCATCACATCACACGCCACACACCACACACCACAGACAGGCGCATTATTGGTGGTGAGTGTCCATTGTCCATGTCCCTCTGTGTGGTGAGACGTTCACGCAGACCGACCGATTTGGATGGCGAGGCAGAGTGCGATCCGCAGCGTGATGAACCACGGCGGCATGAGGCAGAAAAAGTAGAACAACGAGTCGATGCCTGAACCAACCAACCAACCAACCAACGAACCCACGACATGCGCACAGGCCAACAAAGTGTCTGTCTGTCTGTCTCGTTTGGTGCGTGCGATGTGATGGTTACTGATGATGCAGAAGAATCCCGTGATGAGGTAGTAGATGCTGTCGCGGGGCATTGCGTACGCCATCACTGTGTAGGCGAGCAACGCACACAGCGCAAAATGCATAATGGATGCAGACACACATGAGAGCAATATGTCGAGCCTGACGCGGTTACCTGATGCGAGCATGCCCATGACGAGTGGGATGACGGGCCAGCCGTAACGCGCCAGGTTGTAGACCCCGCGGAACGTCGTCTGACCACACACAAACGGACACACACACACACACAGGCACCACCCTGCACATGTCTTCATTCTTTCTGCATTCACTGCTCACTTCTTTGGGCACGGCAAGGTCGCCCAGCGACAGACCAAAGTGGATGCCACCCTGAATGAGTGAAGTGACACACATCGTCCACGTAGACCCAGTGAGTGAGTCCATAAACTTTCTTAGGCCCTATCTATCTGCTCATGGCTGACCAGGAAGGTCAGCAGCGCGGCGCCGTAGTGCACCGACCACGTCAGCATGTCACGGGACAGCTCTGCGAGCGGCGTGACTGCACACACACGCACACACACACTCCATCCATCCATCCATCCATCCATCCATGCATCCATCCATCTCGCGACTCATGACTGACTCACAAGGCGCCACGTGCACGCCGACGGCCCCAGCGGCCAGCGGCACGACCAACGCCGCCGACATGAGCAGTGCCGCCAAAGGTATCCTGTCGGTCCTTGCCCACAGCGGCAGGTTTTTGAAGTGCTTCTTGCGCGCCCAGGTCTGCTCGGCGTCCATCTCAGGCTTAATCTCCTCGTACACACCGGGCTCCGGCGGGGCGGATGCCAGCCCGCCCGCGGCTGGTGCTGCTGACGCAGCGGACGCAGCGCCCATGTCGCGGTTGGCGAAGGACTGCACAAGGGAGGAAAGACAGAGTGGTGCGTTTGTGAAGGCGTGTCGGTGTTTGTGGGGGTAAAGGGTAGGTCGGTGTGTGTGTGTTTGTACCGATGCAGGCGGTGCTCGCACGGCGGTGACGGGCTGCTGCTGCGTCGCCCTTCTCAGCAGCCCCTTGAGCCCCGACTGCTGCCTCTGCGGCCTCGGCAGCTCGCCCAGCTGCTCATCTCGCGATATCACCGGCGGAGTGGGTTTGCTGGCAAACCGCTGACACACAACACACACACAGACGGACAGGGACACAGTCACCGCACACGTAATTAATGTGATGCGATGAATGAAAGTCGTGCACATGAGAGATCTGACCCTGTGGATGACGCCCATCTCCCGCAGTCGTTGACATGGCTGCACAGCGCTCTGCGTCGGCCTGCATTTCGCCACAGATGCCAACTGCACAGCACTTGATGTCTGCGACTGGGCGAAAGACGCGAAGGAACAATGTTTTTGCAGATATAGAACACATGGCTGAACACACGAGGGTGTCAGCGGCCTCCTTCTCATCACATTCAGCATCTTCGGCATCTCCGCTAAGCTCGCAGGCTTAGCTCGCAAGCCTTCAAAGGGGCGTCGAGACGTTAGACGCCATGGTGTGACGTAGATCATGTGAGTCCATCGACTCGTATCGGCGAGAGAATCAATCCAATGGCGTCTCTGCTGAAGGAGGCGCTGGGCTACTCGGACATAGAGGGCGATGACGCCTCCCCTGCGCCAGACTGGCGCACCTGGAGCAAGGCGTCCTTCGTCAACCTGCTGATTTCGCTGGGCGAGAGGGCCCCGGCTGGCGTGGCCGATGAGATCTTGCGGGTGCTGCGGGCGGACAAGGCATTCAGACAGAGGGCGGGGGAGGGCGCCGTCATCGAATATGACGCGTCAAAGGCGCTCGTCGAGGCGCTCTATGCTCTGATGCCGACACTCAAGGTCAGCAAGAGCACACAGGGTATTGTGTGTGTGATGGAGGCCTGTCCCGGTGTGTCTGTCTGTCTGTCTGTGTGTGGTGTGTCAGTCTGCCTGTGCCGACGATTGGGACAGGGTGGCGGTGGTGTGGGGCAAGGTGATTGAGGTCCTCGCCATACTCTATGTGGAATGCCGAAAAACTGGGCCAGGTGAGGGCAGTGCAGTGCCTGGTGAGATGATGGACTAAACAGTTATTCGAAGACACTCAGACGGGCGTGACATGACGCCTGCTTGTGTCTGCGTCTGTGTCCGTTGGTTGTCAGACTGTGTGTTCAGCCGGCGGGGTGAGTGGACATTCGCCGTGCAGGACGCCATGCAGGTCAGACATACACTCCCCCCTGCAGGCCAGGCAGCCTCATTCCCTGTGCATCGTCTGTGTGTGTGTGTGTGTGTGTGTGTGTGTGCTGTTCAGTCCATCCCTGCGGCCAACTTGGGCCCCGTTGTGTCGGCCTTGGAGAAGGCGCCCAGAATGGGACACAGCCTTGGGGTAAGAACACTTGCCCGCACACACACACACACACAAGCTTTGGCTGTGAGGGGACGGTCGTCTGCATCGCATCCATCCCTTGTGTGATTGTGCGCATCGTATTGTGTGTCCGGTGTCTACGTTCGGTGTTCATTCAGTACCGCATGCGCGCAGCGGTGGGCATCAAGAACGCCGTCGAGAGCAGGCGGGAGCAGCTCGACCCCGTGCACCACGCCACACTCAGATTTCGGTACGGACGGACGTCACAAAGAAAAAGGATCCGATTTGCTGATCCGATCCAAACTCGTGTGTATGGTCTGCTTTGTGTGTGATTGTGTGATTGTGTGTGTGTAGGATGCTGCAAGCCTTCCAGAAGCTGTGGCCCTACGGCAGTGGATCCAGTAAGCACTCGCCGAGCAGAGCAGAGCAGAGCAGACGAGCATCTGTCCATCCCTTCCCATCCCTGGCCGTGTGTTCGTTGCGTTCGTTGCAGGCACTTTCTTCGCGACCAAGCCCATTTTAATGGCGCACGGCCACGGACACCCCATGCATCTAGACACTGAGGCCGAATTCAAGTACTGCGCACACACTTACACTGACGGAGGGAGGGAGGGAGGGAGGGAGAACAACAGGTGCACTCCCGCGGCGTCCAATCCAATGAATGGCGTGTGGCGTGGCGTGTGTTGTGGGTTCAGTTCCAAGTCTGGCGGCAAGTCTCTGCTGGAGGATGCCGAGGGCGATGCCGTTATGAAGAACAACACCGTACCCCCTGACGCACACGGTGAGCGGGCGGGACGGGCGAGAGCAACATGCCATGCGGAAGGAGCTGGGCACTGCAGGGGTGTGGGTGTGTGTATGTGTGTGCTCGGCAGAGTCGGCGGATGATGGCGTGACCTATGAGGTGTACCAGGCCTTCTGGAGCCTGCACAAGTTCCTCAAATCACCAGACATGGTCGCCACACCAACCAGCCACCAACCAGCTACCAGACCGTGTGTGTATGTGTGTGTGTGTGTGTGTGTGTTGGATGGCCGCAGTTGAACAGCAAGGATGCTGACAATGAGTTGCGCTGGGCCCGTTTCCATCCAGTCGTCACTAAAGTCCTCGACTTCCTCGACCAACACACCATACCGTAAGCACCACACACACACACATTCCAGATACCACATGTTTATTGCTGGATCACGACCGTGGTGCCTGCGCGTGTGTGTGTGTGCATGACGTCAGGCCGTTTGCCTTCGAGGAGGCGTGTGCTGCGGGTCTGCCCTCTTTGTGTCTGCACAAGTACATCACCGACGCAGCCCTCTTCCGCACCCAACTCAAGACGCCCAAGTTCAGACGACTCCTATACGTAGGCACAACAGGCGGCGCGGGGAGGGGAGGGAGGGCAGCCACACAATCACGTGCCGACTGCTGTCTTTGTCTGTCTGTATGTGTGTCATGTTGCGTGTGTCAGTGTCACATGTTGCTGGCGCTTCATTCGGTGGGTCAGTACGCCACGCCAGAGATCGACACGCCCAGTGCGCCCCCGGCCAGTGCTGCCAGCAGCACTGGTGGTGCTACTGGTGGTGGTGGGGCTGCTGCTGCAAGTGGTGCTGGCGACAAGAGGAAAGAACACCTCACCGACCAAGAGGTGAGGTAGAAGCACAGCACAGACGCAGTGTGTGGCCATCTACAGACAATGCTGTTACTTATGCTCTCTCTATCTGTGTGTGGTTGTGGTTGTGTGCAGCGGAAGGAGTATCATGCGTTGAAGCATCGGGTGGAGACGGCACTCCTCAAAATCAGCGGAGGCGATCACGGTACGGTACGCAGGCAGGCGCTGCGCTGATGCCACCATTCATCCATCCAGCCATCCATTTATCCATCCCCCTCCCCCGTCTACGCATCCCCTTTCAGCCGTCCTGGAACGTCTCTATCACCTCTGCCGCAACGACGCCATATGGGTAAGGAAGGACACACACACCCACAGCCCCACACCCACAGCCACATCCACACACATGCCCCACCCGTCCCCCTGTTCCCTCCCCCCTGCAGAGCAGCTGGAAGCGACTGCCCATCAGCGGCAAACCCATGGGCACCAAGTCCGAGGACGAGATCAACAAAATCCTACAGTCTGACCCGAGAGACGTCCTCGAGACACCTGACCCCCACCCGACCAACACATTCTCCCTCCAGGAGCACGGCATCGCCAATCCCTACTTCAGGGCTCATGACCGCGGCACTGAGACCGACATGGTCGTCATGGCCGAGGGGGCAGCGCACAAGGCTTCTGCACGGCCGAAACGGGACTTCTGCGCTGCCTTTGGCCCTGGTGGTGCGATCGCGGCGCGGGTCAGCCGTGTCAAGCCGTTCCCCAGACGAGTGGCCGGCATGCTGAGTGAGTGAGCCCACAAACCAGACAGACACCAAGAGGGATCGTGTGTTGATTTGATTGGTCAGAGCACCCGCCGGTGCCTCCTGCGGACAAGGCTGACAAGTTCTTGAGGAGCCTGGCGTCACCCGACTTCAACGTGGCGCCGACGGACGTGCGCAAGGGGCATGGCGAGTGGGGCAAGGAGAGGGAGGAGGAACAACTCGACAAAGTGCGACAGGTAGGTACCACACCACACACACACGGGGTGGAATAGAAGGCAGCACAGCACATTGCTCTTGCTGAGTGAGTGAGCGTGGGTGCGATGCGATGCTCTCTCTCTGTGTGTGTGCAGATGATAGTGTCTGATGCACTGGACGAGAAGCTGCAGGACATGGTCGAGAAAGTCGCGGCGGTGAGGAGAGGAGAGGAAGGCCCCGTACCCCACCCCAACACACTCACTGACAGACAGAAATGGGTGTGCGTGGTGTGGTGTGGGTTGGTAGGATGAGGAGCCCGGTGCGATTGAGAAGGAGTACGAGTTGGACAAGGCCAACTACGACCCCCTCTTCAGGCTGCAGTTCGCACGGCTCTTCAACAAGAAATACCTAGACGCACACACGTACATCCAAGAGGTACGCACATACTCACAGCCGCACCGGCGGAACGTACCCCCACCTCTCTCTCTGTCTCTTTGTGTGTGCCATGAATGGACATCAGCTGCCCTTCGCCGGTCCCCGCGACACTCTGCAGCTGATGCAGGAGTTCCAGACAGGCACATACAAGCCGAGACCACAGCCTACACTTAAACAAGAGCCGCCGCCGCCATCGCCACCGCCACCACAGCAGCAGCAGCAGCAGCGAGACGAGAAGGACAAAGAGAAGGAAAAGGACAAAGGCAAAGACCAGCAAAAGAAGGAGGACGCCGCCAAGGCTCCCCAGCCCCAGAAGCAGGAGCAGCAACAGGCCGAGCCAGCACCAGAACAAGACCAAAAGCAGGAGCAACACCAGCACCAGCAACAACAGCAGCCGAAGGAAACAGCAACACCAGCAGCCGCCCCTATCCCGGCCACTGCTCCTACGCCAGCTGCCAAGGCCACAGACGCATCCCAGCCACCACCCAAGCCCGCCGCATCATCGGCAGACAAGACGCCGCAGGATTCTGGCGACACCAAAGACGCCGGCAAGCCCAACGGCGTTGCTGATGCTGCTGCCGGTGCGAGTGGTGCGGCGACTGACAAGGAGAAGGACAAGGACAAGGCGACTGCGGCCGCCCCGTCGCTGCCTGCCAAGCGAAAGGCGGACGAGGCCCCCGCCGAGGGCAGCCGTGAGGCCAAGAGGCCGCAGCATCCCCCACCACCCATACAGACTCAGAAATCGCCCCAGCCTCCGGCGACACGGAGCGCGCCAAGAAGCCCCCTGCCGCCTCCACCACCACACCAGCAGCCAAAGCATGGGGGTAACTAAGACAGACCCACACGTGCAGTGAGTGCACCGATGCGCAGGACGTGTCAGTCATATTGATTGTGTCTTCCTGTTCTTCCTTGTCTGGTCTCCATCCATCCATCCATCCATCCATCCATCCATCGGTGTGTGAATGCGATGCTTTGTCAGGTGCTCCCCAGCCCCATGTGGCGGCCCGTCAGTCGCCGCCCCCTCCCCTGCTGCACCAACCGACGAGCGCCCATGGTCCGGCCCCGCACGGCAGCCGGTCTCCCCCGCCACCACCACCGTCCACACCTGCCAATCCGCTGCAGGACCCCCGCGGCCAGCCGCCCCCTCCACCGATATCATCGGGCCATCCCAAGATCTTGCCGCATCCGCCGTCCCGGCCTCCCAACGGTGGTCAAGGCTCTGGTGGGAGGCCACAGAGTTATTCTGAGAGGGGGCGAGGGGTGGGGGGATTCCCGTCGTACCCAAGGCGATAGATAGACGCCTGTGACGTGACAATGAGCTGTTTTCCGTGGCCACGCGCATGAGTGTGTTCTGTCTGGCCTGCTTGGCTGGTGCCTTCCAGCGGCTGGTCCTGGTTCTTGGTGGCGACACACCGGTCGCTGCCATGTACTTCGATCGGGTGGTTGACGGTCCCAGCTGAGTGACAGAGAGATGCCTGTCTATCTCGCGAGTTGGATGATGTCCGGCGTGTATGAGACGGATTTGACGGATGTTGCCTTGCCCGTGGGTCAATGATTCGACGGACGCACCTTGTGATGGTAGAGAAGTCCATCATGTCACCGTACACCGTGTGTGTCCTATAGAATACAGCACGACCGCCATGCAACGGCACAGCACAGCACAGACAGCACATACATATCGGTCAGTCACTCGCAGCCTGTCACTCCCGACAAACAGCCTCTGATGAGCGGCTCAGCGATCTTCCGGGAAGCCTTGTCATTCCCCTGACCCAACAGACAGACCGACCCACAACGCATCACAACACAACACAACACAAGACAACACAACACAAGACACCAACCACACATATATATACCCAGGCTGTCTGTCTCTATGGGATGGGGGATGGTTTACCTGGAAGAACGCGGCGAGTTTGGTGCTCTTGGGCGTCCACGGCAGCTCCATGGGCGACAGCTGCAGCTCGCTGATGCCAGCGATGGACCTCACAATCTCTGCCCCACACACAGACAGACAGACAAACAGACAAAAGACGGCCCATCAGCCCACCAGCTTTCAACAGGAAGGTCAGGAGTACGTCCGTACCGTCGGCTCTCTCGTCGTCGCGCCGGACACAAACCGCCATTTCACGGGACATGGCTGCAGGTGGGAGACGACAGGCAGGGCCAGGGTGTGTGTGTATGGGCGGGGGTTGTCTGTCTCCCTGTCGCACAGACTGACTGACTTGGTTGCAGTTTCCACGCCATGATGATGAGCAGGTCCAGGCCGTTCCTCTCCATGTGGTGCATCTGCACGTCACATGCAAAATGAACGAATGAACGAACGAACGAATGACGCACAGGCACCAGCAGGCAGGCAGGCAGGCAGGCAGGATGCACCCAACCGACATCGGCCGGCTGTCACCCACCCACCAGGGCGTGGTCGGTGGTGTCGTCAGACGTGTCGGTGAAGCACGCCTCCAGAGGGATCGTCAGAGACGAGTAACCCACCTGCCTTCACACACACGCGCGCGCCTCATGAGTGTGCTGATTGATGTAGCTAGCCGCTCCTCTGTCTTTGCTTCACCGTCAGTTGTCCGTAGTGGTACAGTTTGAAGTCCGACCGCAGAAGATTGGCCAGACCCTAGTTAGTGAATATATGGCACACACACACACACACGCACACACACACAAAGAGAGAGAGAGTCGCTGATGGAATAATGTGACGTGCAGTCCATGTGCCTACTGACTGACCATGGAGAGGTTCTCTTTGACGTCGAACTTGGCGTCTTGTAGCATCCTGGCGGCCTCACGCCACCGAGACTCATCCCAGCCCACCACCTGCCATACATGACCGACCATGTGGGCCACGCAGAACAACGCCACACCTCAGCGCGTAATCAATATATCATTTGTAAGTCAGTTTCCCTTCGTTTACGCTACGTGCCTTGCACAGCTGCTCGCGGGCTGACTCATCCCTGTGGCCAGTGTGGTGTGGTGTGGTGGAAGTCCATACAAAGAAACACACACCAATCGACGCGGGAGGGATGCGCAAACAGCATTTTGGAGCCGCATGCCTTTCGCCCACCGATCGCTCCAGCGAGACCCCTTGAGCTCGGGGGCAAAAGCGCCGGTGTCTGAACAACACCAGACACGCAACCCAACCACACATGTGATGGTCAGTAAGTCATGTTACTTACACCATCATCGTGATGTGCGTGACGTGACATGGTTAGCTGACTGGCTGACCTGTGAGGATGGGTCCCAGCAACAGCAGCGCCGCTTCACGAGGCATCGCCGCACCGCTCGCAAACCACTGCAGGCATGTACCGCCGTGCACCCACCGTACCAGGGCAGGGAGAGATGAGTATGAGTATGTGAATGCAGTGCAGTGCAGAAGGCACTGCACCTGGCCTGGCTACTTACCTCTTCGGCGATGAGTGTGCAGCAGCTGCCGACGGAGGGGTCGCTGATGTTCTTCTCGATGTCGTCCTGGTGCTCATAGGCATGCGACTCGTCCTTGTGGTGGTCCGTGATGCGAGTCACACGACCCTGCCACCTGTTTGGTGTGTGTGACATAGACAGGCCGTCTGTGCTGAGCACCCAGCATAGCCCACTGCTTACTTGTCGCGCTGTGTGGGGCTGAGCTCGTTGTGGTCGACGATCGTCAGGGTCCACGGCCGACTGGTCTCCATCCCCTGCAAGACAGAGCAGAGCCCACCACGCGACGGGTGTATGGTAGGGCCACTGACTGACCTTGAGTATGAGCGGCTGGTCGATGCAGAATCTCTCCAGCATGTTGGCCTCGGCCTGGCTCTCGTGCAGCACGTGCTGCAGCCAATAGAAGAGCAGGATGCGCAGCGGCAGGTCCTCACTGGGGAAGTTCATCACGGGATAACTCGGCACGCCTGTCTACGCGCACACCCACACGAGCAGCCCAGCCTCTCTTGTCTGTGGTGTGTCACCGGTGTCTGACGACCGTACCTACCATCGTGAGCAGCCATGCTTTGGCAATCGCAGCACAGACAGAGTCCTGCACGTCACGCAACACAACAGAAAGTCCAGACAGACAAGCCATCTCTGTCTGGCTCATTGCATGGCACTCACTCACCAGATCTCCAGAGGTGTTGCCCAGGACTGCATTCAGCTTGTGCTGGCCTGCCGGCGATGCATGTTGCTCCAGCCTGTCGATGCAGCCACTCAGGAAGCTTGACAGGGTCTCCATGCTGCTGCTGTCCTTCCCATGATCAGCTGCCATCGTTGAATGGGACCTGGACCAGAGAGCTTGGCCCGTCAGGGGCTGAATGGGAGCGTTGGCGAGGCGGAAGGCTGTAGATGGCGCTGAAACAATAAAGGCGACAAGGCTCAGCAGCATTAACCCGAAGAAGAAGGGTTTGACTGGCCCGATGTACGGGGGTCTGTGGTTGGTCGTTTTGTCATTGCAGATATATTGTGCGGCTGCCCATGCAGCGAATCCCTGCATGTTGCTGCTCTTGGACGCAGCTGGTTTGCCCTGAGCTAAGCTTGCAGTGTGGAGCGGGTCGAATTCATGACCAGAGCAGTGAGTCCGCATGCACGCATGCATCACAGATAAAGGACGAAGAGCCCCCTGTCTGTCTGTCCTGTCCCATATATTACGAATGAAGGAGGCCGACGCTGCACCGTTCACGCAGACATCGACGGTACATAAACGAGACCACTACAGCACAGCACAGCACAGCACAGACAGTACAGTGACTCAGAGTCAGTGCAGCGAAAACACCCCGGGCCCTTCATCGGATCACATACACACGTCATAGACTACCAGATTCCCTCTGCCCCCCTCCATCCCTCCCCCATGTCACGAGTCAGGGTCTCCTAGCGACACGACGTTCCCCCACGCCGTGGCCTTCGCTCCCTCCGACACGCCACCGTCCCTCTCCTTCTCCGCCGCCACCATAGCTAAGTCACCCAGCAGGCTCGTCCTCGTCTGCCTCAGCTCACCACCCGTCGGAACCTCCAGCCGTGCAGCTATCGATGCAGCCTCGTCAGCGGCCTGCTGCGTGTTCTGCTGCTCGTGGACGGACTGCAGCAGCTTCTTGGTGGCGCTGCGGAGGCTGAGCCTGCGTGGGGACTCACGCACGAATGAAGTGAGCATGCTGGGGGAGGGAGGGGCCAGCTGTGAGGAGGGGTCTGGGGAGCAGAGGGGCCGTTTGGGTGGTTTGACGGTGGAGAGGAAGGCGTTGCTGGCGGCCTTGAGTGTGGTCTCCAGCTTCTTCTTAAGGTGCGTGCTGCTCAGGATCGCCTCCTCCAGACGCTCGGGAGACACCTGAGGGGAGGTAACAGGATTGTTCATCGATTCGATGATGCAGCGGGCGGGTGCCACGAGCTTCTTTCCCTTGCTGACTGACCTGCTGTGTGAGGCCTTCGGGGAGTGGTCGGGGTGGTCTTGGCATCGAAGGCCACTTGCTTCGGTTGGAGAGGCCGTATGTCAGGGCCTCCAGACGCCACTCCTGACACGCCTGATAGAAGCGACACAGACAGCACATGGGAGGGACCACATTGATGCTCGCAGTGGAGTGGCGCATGCGGGCGTGGCGCGAGTCTCTCTCACTCACCTTGGCATATTTCTTGAGGCTCTTTTTGTGCTGCTGGTACTGCTCGTACCACAGATTTGCGTTCTCTACATAAATCGACCTGACACACAACATAACACAACACAACACAACACAATCACACACCAGACCAGACGTCGCGTCCACCAAGTCCATGCCTCCCCCACGCCGTTCGTTCACATGCTGCCTCTCACCTGATCTTGGCGTGTCTCCATGCGCCAGGGATGCGGTGCTGCTCAATGAAGTCCATCAGGGACGACTTGCCGCCCTGCTCGTACTTGGTGTAGTCGCCCGCCAGCCGGTCGGCGGCCACATTGATGGTGCGGGCGATGACGAGCGCCTCTACCCACAGCCACTGCCGCTCGATCGCCGCGTAGGCGGCACGGATGCGGGCCAGGCCCACACGGGCCGACCTCTGGAAATGGGTTATCGCATGCATCATCTTGCGGACCTTCTTGCGCAGCTGACCAGAGCAGAGCAGCAGGTGAGTGGGATCAAGACAAGATGAGGCACTCACTCATGCCTCTTGATTCTTAGGTACCTCGATGCAGTGTTTGAGTGACGTGAGCTGCTTGACGAACGACTTGACGACCTCTATCGAGTGGTTCGGCCGCTTCATCCGCACGAACCGCCGGGACGCCATCATCACACTCGTCGCCATCCCCCAGGAGTGCCGCGCCGCCCGCCGCCGCATGAGAACATCCCGGCGGCTTACCGGCGATGCCCCTATCTCTCCATCCATCAGCACGAAACCGCCAGACAGACGACGGGTGGCGCGTGTGAAGCCTGAAGTCAGGGCGTCCTCGAACCCCCTGACGCTGTAGGCGCACGCCACCATCCACAGGCCGATGCGCATTCTGTCGCACAGGGAGCGCCGTTCGTTTCTCTTGTCTTCGTTGACTTTGAGCTTCAAGTGACGCGAGATATTCATGAGGATGGCGCGGTCGTGGGGCGGCAGAGCCGAAGGTGGGGGCAAGGGCCAATCGATCGACGGCGATTGGGGAGCGTTGGTGGCGAGGGCGGGAAGGGCCACTGGCGGTGGAGGCGGAGAAGAAGACGGGTCTCTCTTCCTCGCGTTGGGGCTGTTGGTGCTCCGCTCGGTGAGGGAGCGAAGCTGGTCCTTCCCGTTCACCTCATCGGTCAGCCGCTTGACGTCTACCACCAGATGACGAGGCAGCGCGGGGACGTCCTCTTTGGTCCACAGGAGATCCCTTAGCCTCCTCTCCCTCTCAGACAGGCACGGGGCCTCAGGCATGGTGCACAGGTAGCTGTCGACGCTCTTGACCAGCCTCTTGTGCTTGCGGGCTATGTCAACCTTCTTGTCGACGGCTGACGCTCGAGAGCCCCTGCTGAGTCGTTGACGGGTTGCAAACAGGTCGGTTAGAGTGAGGTCGTTGTCATAATATCCCATGTCGATGTCGTCGAGCGGCGGCAGAGAGTTGTTTCTGAGGCTGGGTTGAAAGGAAGTCCTCCTCCCTCTGCCCCTTTGCAACATCGGGGCAGCTGCCCAGATAAGAACGAAACTTGTTGCGGGAGTGATTCTTTATGTCTTTAGTAGCCTTGTCGCATCACGTGGAGGCCCTTCCATCCTCTCAGCTTTCGCTGCGGCGATCTTTTCCAGCTCGCAGTTGAAAACGGTTTCTCTCCCGCCGCTACAACCAGTTCAGCTGTTCCACGCTACGCCAGCCACCTCCGTCAGCTGCAGAATGAAGATCTGCGAGTGCCGTCTTCCATCGATGCTTTATTCTGTCGCCCTGCTGGTCGTGCTGCCGCTGTCGGCATGGAGCTTTGTACTCAGTGCTCAGAGAGTCGCACGCACCCACCGCACCCCAATATCCTCAATGAAGGCGACGCAGACCAGGAGAATGCAGCCCAAGGCGCCGATGCAGCAAAACCTGCCGTCAAGAATCATGATGGTGAGCCGACTGCCGGTGGTGTGAATGCCCACACACGCCTCTGTTGCCGCTGGTTGATTGGCTGATTGATTGCTTATTCAGTCGGAGAAGTCGATCAACAAGGTGTGTTTGTTGGGTCGTGTGGGGACTGACCCCGATATCCGGCTGCTCCCCAACGGCGAAAAGGTCGCCAACATCAATCTGGCGACGTCTGAGAACTGGAGAGATCGGGTGACTGAGGCACCGAGGCCGGCAGGCAGGCAGTGACTGACGGGGAAGCAAGCACGGAAAGACAGCTCGTTCGGTGTTTGTCTTTCATTCCTTGTGTTATCAGGCATCGGGTGAGCTGAAGACTCGCACCGAGTGGCACCGTGTCGCCCTGTACGACCAGCAGCTCGTGGAAGTCGTCGAAAAATACGTCAAGTAAGTAGGGTCACTGCACACAGGAGGGAAGACGACACATCGTCGTCTGGCATGGCATGGCATGGCATGGCATGGCGTGCTGTGCTGTCTGTCGCCTCCCTCTGCCAGGAAGGGCCGCCGGCTGTACTTGGAGGGTGCGCTGCAGACACGCAGATGGGCTGGCAACGATGGTCAGTACCACAACCACCGCAACGAACGCCGAGCCACTTCCTTGATGTGTGTGTGTGTCACGTGACCTGCCTGCTGCAGGCAACGAGCGTTTCACCACCGAGGTCGTGCTTCAGCGCTTCCGTGGCGAGATGGTCATGCTCGACAGCCCGGAGGACAGACAAGCCTCCAACAACAACTACGCCGCCGCAGCACAAGACCAGGCCGGCTACGCCATGGACGCCGCGGCGGCAGCAGTGGCCAGCGACAAGGCGGCTCCCACGCCCCAAGACCTCTCGCAGGGCCTCTACGGCCGCGTGTCGGCTGCATCGGCTGTGGAGGGTGACAACGGGTACCAGCCGTACAGCTCCCGCACGTGGAGCCCCTCCGGTGGTGCGCAGCGCAAGCCGCGACAGACCGGCCAGTCGCGAGCCGGAGGCTATCAGCGCCGGTACCAGACGGGATCGCAGAATCCGCCCATTGAGGAACTGCCCATGTGAATTGAACGGGCGGGTGTCATGTCAGTGGGCGGGTGTGTTTATGGGGGGGCAGAAGAATGGATGGCTGCACGCTCAGTCTAGCTAGCCCTGGTAGCTAGCTGTACAACAGGGCAAGCGAGAGCGCGTCCTTCGGTTAGGTGGTAGGCCATTCGTGGGTGTGGGATGGATGAGTTTAAGCGAAGTGTTAGGTGTGTGGTTTGGATGATATGGATGTACAGTAAGTAAGATGGGTGGGTGGGTGCGTGCCCCCCCCCTGGACAGCGGCCTGGACTCTTCGAGTCACAATGGTGGGTCTGTCATGAAATACACCTCTCTCGTCTACACAGAAAGCGACAATCTCACAAATGCTCACTCATACACGGACCAAGCCAAGCAAGTCACACCAAAGCGCACACACCCACATGGCTATACAACACAGCGCCTCCACAGAAAGGCAGCGAGGTGTCTATTTGAAGACCTTGGTGAGGTCGGGAATGATCAAGGGTGTGCTCTTCTTGTACTCCTGATACTGAGGGTCGTCGCCAAATCGCTTGTCTGCCCTCTTCTCAGCCAACGGCACTCCCGACACGAACAGCAGCAGGGACGAGACGAAGGCGGGCGACAAGGCACCCAACGCCACCTGAGGAAAACCGGACAGACAAAGGAATCGCGAATGTGCACTGCAGCAGCATTGTCTGTCTGTCTGTCTGTCTGCCAGTGGCTGGCAAGAGCGCACCATCTTAGGTCCATACGCCTGATAGAGGGCCGGCACGGCGACGGCATACAAACCGCTCCACACACATATCTCCCCTGACGTTCACACAGAAACAATAGATCATGCAAACCAGGCCGCCGCAGGCACACTCACCAAAGTAGTTGGGATATCTGCAGAGCCGCCAGAGGCCCTCGTCCATCCACTTGGCGGCCTTGTCGCCCTTCCCCTTGGCCGCCTCACCCTTCATCTCCCGCTGCTTCTTGGCCCACTTCTGGTTGTCGGCAATGGTCTCGAATGCGAACCCTAGGGAGAAGAGCGCGATGCCGAAGGCGTCCCATCGCGTCAACGAGGTGGCTGCCTTGCTGTACACGGCCACCGTCGATGGCAGCAGCGACAGCCAACACCTGCATGGCACCCACACCACCACGTGTGCAGAGCGAAAGCATGACGTACTTCTCACTGTCTGTCCGTTTGTTTCCTCCCGTGTATGTGTTGCGGAAGTACCAGACTGTTTGAGCGGTCCAGAATGCGGCCAGCCCGCCAGTGCTCTGAAACTGGTCGGTGAGGCGTGTGTCCTCGCCGGTCTTGAGGATCCGGTTGAACAGAAACGACGCCAATCTCGTCCCCCACAGGGACACGGCCGCTGTGAGGAATGCCGGGCGGCTGGCTATGTCGATGGGCACCCCTGCGCTACGGAAGCTGTTGAGCGCTGTCAGAACGAAGCAACCAGTACCTGCAGCCAGCGACAGGAAACAAAACAGCATGATGCGATGCGAGTCTGCCCATCGATTCGATTGCCCATCTGCCCTTCTCGCGTCAGAAGGGAGGGCACGGACCGAATAGATCTGTAATCTTCTGAGTGCCTGTGATGGCTGAAATGGCGAACCCCAAGCCATTGACACCCAACGCCACCACCGCAGATTCGACAAGGCCGCGCTTCAGCGCACTCATCCCAGCGGCGCAGAGAGCCGACGACACACAGGCGAGAGGTGGCTGGCTAGATGTCCTGGAGCTGCGGGTTGCTGTGGCGAGAGGTGGCTGGCTCTGTCGGGCCCTGCCTGCTCGCAGTGACCTCGAGAAGACCGGGAGGGTGGCGAAGCTCCTTGAGTGAGAAAATGCCGCGTCGGCGTTGAGGGTCGAGAGGATGCCGACGAATGTGAGCCAGAGGAATGGGATGCACGCTGAAGGACTCATGCGGCGCTGCAAGAAATCCTTCGTCAGGCTGCGGTTTCAGGGAGCACCCTAGGCGGCCTGAGCTGGGGGAGGGGACAGTTCAGATCTGCATGTTGCCGACATCGCAAACTTATGGCACACGCGTCCCTGCATGTATCGGTCAGTACACAGAAAACACGCTGGGATGAGCGATTCTATGAGGTACGCATTCATCGCCCCCGATGAACAAGCACCGATTACGGCAACACAGCCAATCGATGCGTGCAGATGGGGGGCGTGCAATGCATCCCTCACAGAGCCACCCACACTCAGCCAGCCAATCAGTCCGATAGAACAAAGCAGCAAGCACCCACCCACCCACTCGCCCGTGCAGCACACATGGAAAGGTAGACGAATCGTCTTGTATCAACAAGACGGCCAAAAGCTCAGCAGTGTGCGGCAGACGATGCCATCGCCACAACTGACACAACCTGCATACGGACACATCACAAGACAGACGCCTATTCCACCTCGCTGCCCCCGTGAGAGCCGCTCTCCCCCGTGTGGCTCCCGTCCCTTACCATGACTAGAGTACACCCCAGCAGCTTAGCTTCCCTCAGAACTGTCCGGCAGCCACCTTGTGGAAGATGTATTTCCTGCGCAGCCTCTCGGCCCGCCCCTCCAGATACTTGAGCCGCCGCTGCCTCTCCGTCGCTCTGTTGTCCACTCGACCCAGCGCCATCATGTCGATGCGGAACTTCTCCGCAGCCCGCCTCGCACGCAGCACGCCATACGCCGTCCGAAATCGCCGCACCCGATGCCTGCCGTTCTCAATCCACGACGTGGTGAACACAGCGAACGGGCGCAGATAGTCGACGCACTTGACCTCTGACGTGAACCATGGGTGCGTCTGCTGGGTGACGTTGTACTTCCGCCGCCGCCAGTAGCGCCACTGCAGGAGGTTGTAAGGGTAGTCCTCCCCCAGGTACTCGCCTGTGCGGAGCGACTCGATGTGCTTCTCGGCCCTGTAGCCGAGAGGGTAGAAGGACTGGTTGGGATCTGTGACGGCGCGGTAGCAATTGGGCAGGGGCAGGAACTCGGGGTGCGGGATGTGGGGGTGCACCACCTCACGTGTCTTGGGCTTGTAGGGGTGCTTGGTGAAGCGCAGTTGCTGGAAGGAGCTAACAGTTGCGGTCGTTGCATCGGGCGCCAGGCGTGACGAGGGCGCCAGGGAGATGGCAGGGGAGCTGGAGGGGCAGCTGAGAGAGGAGAGGCTGTGGAGCAGCCTGCGGGACTGCTGAGATGATATCATTTGCGCAAAGGATGTCGAGCATCCGTAAAACCCAAGCGCCGTTTTGTTGCACTTGGGCTCAGAAACGAGGACATCATCACATCAGAATGTCTGGGCTTGGAGGAGGTAATGACATCAGCAGAACATCATTGCTCTCACATCACAACCCTCTCCTCTGTTGTCCTGAAGGTCCCACTGGGCCGCGGCCGCCCGGTGTGCCCTTCACAGGTGAATGACGGCAGCAATGAGCCATCAGGTCACTCTGCATGTGGCCGTGACGTCATCAGGTCCGTTCCCGCCCTATCTGCCACCGCCGCTCCTTCCCGTCCCGTCCAATCCAGGTATTCAATGACATGCCATTCCATTCTCCCCGGTGCATTCTTGCATATTGATGGCATGGATATCGATTCAGGAGTGCCGATGGCCAGTGCAACGCCCTATCAGTTCCCCGTAGCCTCCTCATCGCAGCAGCAGGGAGCCGTCCTGCTGGGACCTCCCGTCGTCGGCGGCAACTCGGGTTCGTTCTCATCGTCTGCAGCACAGGCGACTCCCGTCACACCTGACGGTGAGAAAAAGCGATTCGATAGCACATCTCTTCGGTCATTGGGGTGCCTGTGTGTATGGTCCGTTGTCAGGTATGCTGGTCTTGGCGGTGCCCTCGCAGCTCACGGCCGAGAACAGCCAAATCATTCCATACGACGGTGAGAGCCCTGCAGGCGACGCGGCAGACGTCTGTCTGTTTCTCTTTGTATGGGTGGCGATGCTATGTGTCCGCAGACAGTGTGTCTCGGCTGTTCCCGTGGCTGGGGCGCACCAAGGTCAAGTGGGAGGACATATACGTCAACTGGGATATCTATGCCGAGGCGCGACGAGGTACGTAAGAAAAGAAGACAGGCAGGGAGAGGGGGGAGAAAGGCTGGCTGCATTTGGATGGTGTGTGTTGTGTTGGGTATCCGTGTATCAGCTCTGTCGATGGTGTGGGATACTCTGGTGTCGCCTGATGTGGATCCCGATGACGTCAAGGACCCCGTGTCGTCCTTCCTACTCGCGGAGGCATACCTCATCAGGTAAACAGGGACGGGCACAAACAAGACACACACGTGCCGTTATGTCATCCGCTGTCATGGCTTCTGTGTGCCATGGTGCAGCGGCGTGTCCAAGGCCAGCGACGATGACATGAAGAAGGCCAAGAAGCTCTACTCGAAGGCACACAAAACCGCAAAAGAGGTAGGCGTCGCACACGCAGAGACACACATAGGACAGGACAGCCGGACACCCCCATGACTCATTCCTTCGTGTCACACGTGCAGTGGTACCAGGCTGCCAAGTCGGTGTATCGTGACGATGACGACCAGCCCACAGACGACACACAAAGGAAGGCCGTACAGGTATCAGCACCCCGCACGCCGTGTGGTCATGTCTCGTTGGTGTCGGTCAGGTGATGGCGTGCTGTTCGATGGTCATGGGGGAGACAGTCTTCGCCCAAGCCTTCATGAAGGTCCTCAAACAGATACTCAAAATCTTTCCAGACGAAATCGAGCAGCTTGCCACCGCGGCTGCCGGTCAGCCACACACACATTCACGTGCCTCTAAACGTGTGTATTGCAATTATGTGCCAACACAGATGCCGAGGATGCCCCGTTCCTGGCTATGTGGACAACCATCATGACAGTAGTGCCTGCCGTGGGCAATGTCCTGGAGCTCACCCGCCAGCTGGTGTGCGCCGTGGCCACGGCCATCAACCACTTCGACAACGCCAGAACACTGCTGAAGAGACTCAAATTCACCTACATGTACTCAGACGGGCAGGAAATATAGATGAGCCTCCATCGGTACTATCTCCTGGTGTCTCAGGTCCCATGCCGCTCCCATGCCAATGTTTTGGGTTCCCCCCTGGCAGATGGCGGGCGACCCAACGGCCGACACGGCGCCCGCAGTGGAGGGGTGGGACGGCATGGTGCTGGACATGCTCGATGGGGCCAACTTCATTGAGGGTATCTATGTCTCTGCAGAGAACATCGTTATGTCAACGCATGCAATGCCCCTCTTCTTGATCGATCTGCGTCTTGCAGGTCTGGTCAACGTCGTCCTGCGTCTCGACGGGCTCTTCTCTGCCATGGGCGCGGATCTGCCTCCCGACGGACAGCAGATACTCGGAAGAATCCGTACAAATGGACAGACAGAAGGACACTACCAAAGCGCTTGGCGCTCCTGAATCGCTTTCTCTGTCAGGTCTTGGGTTGGCCTTTGTGGTGCTGCACATCCGCGGGAGCCAGTCGCTGCCGTCCGACTGGGAATATGGCGCATCGCTACTCAGACAGGTACAGACGTGGGCAGGAACGGAGGGAGGAAGGGAGGCACCCAGTCGCACCTAGTTTCTTATCATTCCTTTTTGCCTGCCTGTACAGATTCGTCGGCACGGAAGCGTGCGGGCGCATGTGTGGATGGCCAAGGCCGTCAGTGACTCCATCATGCTAACTGAGATGGAGAGGCAGTGGGCGCGCCACCGCCCTCCCGGGGCACCCCCCTTCCCTTTTCCTCCACCGCAGACACCGCACGAAGGGGTAAGTATTTTGACGGCACGACACACCAGGAGCACTCGCTGGTTGTGTTTAGGAGTTGGCCCTGCGCTACTACTCGCCGCCGATCTTCTCGAAGCTCTATGCCCTGGGCAAGAGGTGAGGAACGCGAATGTAGGGCAAGAATGCTTGTCTGACGTGCACATGTCTGTGAAGGTTTGGCACTGGAGACACTGCCGGGGCATGCACGTTGCTGGAGGCCATCGTAGTGAGGTGAGTGAAAGGAGGGTCCACACAGATAATATGTGACTGGCACTGACTGCTCCCCACCGTTGCCTGCCAGTGCTGGAGGGTTCGATCGCGTGTTGTCCAGCAGCCCCCCGGAGGAGTGTGAGTATTACAAGCCCATCCACAAGGTTTTTCAGGCTTCCATGCTCATGATGCCGTACCTCTTCAACCAGGACTACACCAAAGTGTGCCAATTACTCCAAGGAGGTGAACACATACAAGTATATACCAAACGCTTTTTTGCGTTTGTGTGTGTGATGAGTGCAATGCGTGCAATACAGTGCCTTACGTGTCGATTCCCGAGTTGCCCGGCGGCTGCCAACTCGGTGCCATCTTGGCGGTCAACCTACTGCTGTCCGGCCATCGCGAGGAGGCCCTGCATGTTCGACACGCGTACATGCAGGTGCTTGCAGGAGATACACACGCGTGTGTTTATGCCAGGAGGAGGCACGAACTGACGCGACACATCACACGTGTGTCTCCCTCTCTGTCAGTTTGTTCCCAGACCAACGACCGCTGGTGGAGAGATGCGTGGGGGCCGGCCATGATGAAACGCCTGGGCGCCAACCCTACGTATGAATGGACGGCCACGCACAGACAGATTTTGGGCTGTGGACATTTGTATGCATTCAATGTGTGCAGGCCTGAGCAGGCTCGTTTTGCCTTCCTGGAGATCATCTTTCGCATTCCTCCTTTATTCGCGAACATGCTCAAGGACCCCGCCGTCAAGCTGACCATCACCTCCGAGCTCCTGCGGGTGTGCCTCATCCATGACATGCACACACAAGGCTGGATATTGATTGCAATGCATGTCTGTGCGTTTTTCATGACGCAGTATGAGTCCATGGTGAAGCCCGTGTGCATGCCGTCCCCCATGGGTCCGATCGTCATCCACGGCAACCCCTACAAGTGGCACCTGTGCGTCAAGATGCTCGGTAAGTCAGTGACAGCGGAGTGAACTACCGCCTCAACATAGTCCATAGTTCACTCCGCTGTCTGTTTCTCTTTCTGCCTGGTGTCTGTTCATCAGAGTTCATTGGCGTTCGTTTCCTCCTGCCGGGGATGCCCCCGCCTCCGCCGTTCCCATTCATGTATGGACCGCACCACATGCCGCCCCACTCTGCACCATTCCCTCATCCTCCCCTGCCAATGCGGCCCCTCCCGCCTCCACACACACTCGGCCCAGCACCTCCCCACACACCTGGGGTCGCGCAGGGATTCCTGTATCCGCCAACCTCCCACTACACCCGGCAGCACATGTAAAAAGGGGGCGGACCAGAAAGGGAGGGAGACACGAGATAGATAGGTGGGGGATGGGTGGGTCGTTTTTGTAGTGTTTGAAGGATGATTCATCACGTGTGAGTTTGGACTAGTGCCGGGGAGGGGAGGGGGTTTGGTAGTGGTGTCCACTGCCATGTGACCACCAGACAGGAGACAGATAGATGGAAGTGGTTGCATGGCAGACGGAGCACCCACCGTAGCTGCGATACACACACGGTTAGTCACGATGGGACAGGTAGAGAGAGAAGAGACGCTCTACATGGCAGCTGACAAACATTTGTATTTTGAACAAAGCTGTTTGTCCAACATGTAGCAGTTGTCCTGCTGAAAGATGCAACACTGACTTACTGGTCTCGCGCGATGATGAATAATACACTCACCACCAATATAAAATGTAGACAACGATACGGGCGGACACGATAAGCCGCCTGCACCCACATCAGCCGCTTCGTCGACGCCGCTTCGTCGACTCGCTGCAAAAGGGGCGCCACAACACGCCCGCCACAGAGCCCACACACACACACACACACGCGTCTCATCCCATCGACCAGAGTGTGTGGTGAATCCAGTGTGTGTGGCTGTCATAGTGCATCCAGCCAGCCAGCTCAAACAGAGCTTCACGCTCACTCAAGGCGATAGATCACAGGCAGGCAGGCAGGCAGGCATGAATGAGGTGGAAGGAATGATGCACACACAGCACACGCAGGCGAAAACGTGACGGCCGAGAGAGGGCGACAGTGTGTGAGTGTGCGAGAGAGAGATACGATCGGTGTATGTGGATGGCGAGCAGCAACAACTTCCCCTCCTGTGTGCTGGTGTGTGTGTGTCGCCCTTGCCCATGCACACACGTATGCATGTGTACACGCCACCACCGCCACACACCACACCAACACATACCCAACCGCTCACTCGCCCCGCCCGCAGAAACCGACAAGCAAGTGGCCTCCGTCCGGGGAGTGGAGCCCTTAACCCCCCCCCACACACACAGCCGTCCCGCCACCCCAACTGCACTATCACCGCCCGCCACGGTGGCCTGCTGAGGAAGGGCTCGCTGAGGAGCTCCCCTCGCCCCTCCCCGACGGCCCGCTGCGCCCCTTCATCCGCTTCAGGTCTCGCCACTCCAGCCGTCCGTACGGCGAGAGTACGGCGGCATAGGCCGACGACTTGCCGGCCGGCTTGCTGTCAGCCCCCCGCTTGTGGAGCGGGGCTGGGCCCTTGGTGCTGGCAGTGGCCTCCAGGCGCAGGAAGGCCTCGGCGGTGGCGGTCGAGTCCATCTTGATGAAGATGAAGCGTGGCGGCGTGGGGCTCTTGTGGATGGCTGCGGGCCGCTCGATATCCAGCACTTTGCCGCTCGGGATGTGGCACTTGACAGCGGCGTTCAGGCGCTTCAAGAAGCTTGTCGCAGTCCTCCTCGCTAGATGTGTCGATGTGGGCGGCGCGGCCGAGCAGTAGAGCCACTGGGACGGCTCGATGGACCCCTGCACCACCGTCGGGGCGACGCCGATGCCATGGTCGGACAGCTTCCTCCACTCGGGACCGCCACGCCCATGGCCGTGGGGATGCGCCCTCACACCTCCCCCGCCGCCGCCCTGGTTGACGGCCCAACCACCGTGCTGAAGGACAACACGCAGAGAAAGGCCATGAGATTGATGGTGGGGCGTGTGGGGGTCTGCCTGTGTGTGCGTGTGGTGTGCTACGTGTGCTGGCTGTTTCTGCTGCTGGGCGCCTGATGAGACCAAACACAGACAGCCATGCGTGGTCAGCCGGATCCCCCGGCCCTGCTCGCGTGTCGCCTTACCTTCACTGAGAGTCGGACCGTACATGTACTGGCTGCTACTTGTCCATGTGCCAGTCGGCTTGTTCTTGCAAGGGCTGCTGGCACCTGATGGATGTCCGCAGCCAGGAGAACGAACAGATGTCCACTCACTCCACACACAGAATACGTACCGACATAGTCCTGGCTTGCCTGCCTGCTGCCCCCTCGTGGATTGGATTATGTACCTGTGCCATCCGCCCGGGTGCTTCTCGTGGCTACCTTGTGCCCTGCAGCCGGCCCTGCTGTTGGTGATGGGTGAGAAATGAGGGACAAGAAAGGTCCACATTTGGAGGGAGATGGCGGTGCGGTGGGCGGTGTGTGTATGTGTGCATTGCATACCGGTGCTCTCGCCCTCGAGTAGCTGCTCAATTATGGCTCGCAGACGGGGGGTGCTGATGGTGTCTCGCCAGTCGGTATCGGCGGTCTCCTCGGCGGTGAGCTTCTGTCTGATGGTGTCCATGCCCTTCTCGGCAGCCCAGTCGTCGATGAACCCAAGCAGACTGAGACGGTCATGGTGGTCGTCCTTGTTGTGCTCCCGAGGGAGGTCATGTCGCCGTGGAGTGGAGGGATGGGTGAGGGCGCCGCTGGGGTGTCGTCGGACGGCTGGCCATCTCGGGGGGAGCCGGCGTGGGCGGGGGCCTCCGGATCGACAGAAGTGGACGACTTGCTACCGTGAACCTGAATCTGCATACACACATACACACATACACACATTGCACAAACGCACACACGGTGAGAGACAGACAGCTTGTTGGTTCGGTCCGTGTGGTGTGTGTGATCTCTTTCTTTCTTGTTCGTTCCATCCCCCCATTCACTCATTCACTCACTGACCTTGTGGATTAGGGCTTTGTTGTCGACAGGAGCACCAGGAGGCGGGGGCGGCGGTGCAGCTGACGAAGCCGAAGCGGCAGCACTTGCGGCAGTGTCGGTGTGGCCGCCCTCGGCTGCCGATTGTCCTTTGCCAGTCGCATGGGGCACCACCAACTCGCTACGCTTCGCTGAGTGACACAGCACAGCACACAACGAACAGACACACATACGACCACATTAATTAATGTGTGCACATACATGATGGATGTGATGTGCGCATCTGTATGTGTAGTGAGTGTATGGGCTGTGCTCTTATGTGCGTCGTTGTGTTTCCCGTCCGCACGCACCTTATCGTCGGTGTCAGTTGGGGGGCTCTTGGGCTTGTCGCTTCCGACGCTCTCACCATCAACATCAACACGAGCCCCACCGCCACCAGCACCAGCAGTGGCACCTTGGCTCTCGCCCGGGGGGTTCTTGCGGGCGTGTGGTGGACACACAAACTGACCAACGAACCAACGAACCAGACAGACAGACAGACAGAAAAAAGGACACACATCCATCGATGCGGTGCAGCGATCGACCACAGCTCTCTGACTGTCTGTCTGTCTGTCATGATTCGTCCAGTCCCCTCTCACCTGGTCCCCAGGCGACGACAGGTACAGGTGGCCTCTTGGCTGCACCAGCGACAACCCACCCTCACGCACCCCGCCGCCCAGCACCCCACGCGACTCGTCACAGTCGTCGCCCCTCTCCCCACCGACCTCCTCCTCTTCCTGCTGCTCACATGGTCCTTGCTGGGGCTGATCTGTCGGCCCACAAGGGCGGGGAGGGCTTCTGCCTTCCGAGGCAGCAGCACCACTCCCACCGCCCCCACACATCACCATTCGGGCAAAGGTTGCCCATTCTGCTCGCAACTGCCCCTTTTCCCTTGTCCTTGTTCTCCTGCTCATCGGTGTCGTCCACAGCAGGTGCTGGTGCGTTCACACCAACTTCCAATGGACTGCTGTAACAAAAAGATGACAGTGGTTCTCACAGTGAGTCGGATGGATGCTTACTCACCCGTGAGTTGGCTGAGGGTGTTCTTACTCACGGCAACACCGTCTGAAGAGTGGGGAGACACATAGCAGACAGACAAGCATACACGCACTTTGCCATCTCATCCACGACGATTGGGTCTCAGGTGGCCCAGATTAAGCGAAAGTGACTCGATGACGGTGTCGCGTCTGAATGATACCTGCAAGGCACACACAGACTTCCCTTGCCCGTATTGCTCATTGCTTTGCCTACGTGTCCTGTTGGTGTGCGGGGCATTGCAATGAAGACAATCGCCGTCAGAATATAAAATGTAGACAACGATGACAGCTGAAAGCAGGCAAGGACAGAAAGGCCCATGAGACGGTGGGCTCTGTCTGTGCGTCTTTGTGTCACCTGGGCGGGCTGCTGTGGCGGCTGCTGCTGCTGCTGCTGCTGCTCGCCGGGCTTGCCCTCGCCCTCACTCTCACCGTCCTCGTCCGTGTCATCCCCTGACAGACACGCAAAGGCATCCATTCAGCACACACGAAGAGGTCAGTAGCGTGGCCCAGCTGTCCATCCACCCCATCCTCGTCTTAGATCTCACCCCCCAGCCCGAGGCCGCCTTCTCCCTCCTGTTGGTGGGGCTGCTGGTGCCGCTCTGTCGTCGCCTGAGGGCGGCGGAGAGGCTTCTGCCGTCCACAGCAACAGCACGCCTCAACCATCGTGCGGCTTGATGAGACACGGACAGACGCACGTGGCTCGCACATCTTCAGTGCGTGGACCTACTCTCTGTGATGACATGTCCACCAGCCTCCTGGAAGACCGCGCCACACCACTACCTCTTCTTTGGTGGCCTGCAGCTGCGCAACGAGTGAGTCCACTTGCCATCAGAATATAAAATGTAGGCAACGATTTTTGCGGAGTCCCTCTCCTAGAAGCGCAGAAAAGGGCAAAGGAGAGAGAGGAGTGCTGAGGGATCCCCTGTCGTGTCTGTCTCTGTCGTCTCTGCCAACCTGTCGTCTGGTCGTCTGCGCTTCAGAATCCCTGAGTGTCTATGTGACGAGCAAAACCGAGGCACACAGAAGGAGGACACACACCATTACATACATGAGACGATATACATATGTATATGTGCGTGTGCAGCGCGTGGTGTGGCGGACGTGTGTGTGTCCGCTCACTGTGAGAGAAGAATGGAAGCGTTCGATTACTGTCGGCCAGGCCCACCCCAAGCGCCCCCCACACCTCGGCCACGCCCAGCAGGTCGGCCGCCACGGCCGTCACGGTGGCCTGGCGAGGCGTGGCTCGCCGGGCTGCTGTCCCCTCCCCCGCCCCCCCGGTGGCCCTCTGCGTCCTGAGGAGCAGGAAAGAACAAAACAAGGACCATGGGATGAGGGGGGGTGTAGGGGTATGGCTGAGCGCATTGTTGTGTACCTGCCGCTGCTGCCGCTTTGAGACCTTGCGGCCCCCTGAAGGGACAGCAAGGACAGAGAGCCACGAAGGTCACATGCGCACAGATGGATGGATGTGAGTCGCCTCTCCCTGCGCCCTGCCGTGTGAATGTGGGCTTACCTTGGCCCAGTGTCGGCCCCTCAGACATTGGCGGCTCCACCCGGTCCCACACGCCCGACGCCCCTGATATCCACAGCAACACGACATTCACCGTACCATTCACATTTACATGACCGTTTCGCTTCTCTCTGCTTACGCTCGCCCTCCTTGGTGCTCTTCTTCTCCTTCTTGTCGGCCTTCTGCTTCTTGTTCTCTGCTCGACAGGCATAGCATACAAGAGATTAGAGCTCGGCGTGGGCTGGTTCCCGTGATGTGTGTGTTTTTGAGTGCAGGCATTCGTACCGGCGGCCTCGAGCAGCTGATTGATGAGTGCCAGCAGGCGAGGGACAGGCACCGTCTCCATCCAGTCGGGGTCAGCCGCCTCCTCTTGGGTGAGCAGGGGTGTGATGGTGTCGTCCTTGTGCTCGGCCGCTCAGTCGTTGAGAACCTCTATCAAACTCTGGCGCTCCTCATCTGATGGACAAACATCTGTCTGGCTGTTTGTCCGTCTGATGGGTGGGAGGACACACGTACCATCGCTTGCGTCAGGCGCACCGGCGGCAGACGACTTGTGGGCCTGCAGACACACCGACACACATTCACAACCACCAATCATCACCCCACTCACAGACTGTGTGCATTTCTGTTTTACATAAACGAACGTCTTTACGTCTCCTGTTGGTCTGCGGGGCATTGCAATGAAGACAATCGCCGTCAGAATATAAAATGTAGACAACGATGACCTGAAAGCAGGCAGGGACAGAAAGGGCCATGAGACGGTGGGCTCTGTCTGTGCGTCTTTGTGTCACCTGGGCGGGCTGCTGTGGCGGCTGCTGCTGCTGCTGCTCGCCGGGCTTGCCCTCGCCCTCACTCTCCCCGTCCTCGTCCGTCTCATCCCCTGACAGACAGGCAAAGACATCCATTCGGCACACGGAGAGGTGAGTAGTGTGGCCCAGCTGTCCATCCACCCCATCCTCGTGTTAGATCGATGTGTGCGGCCCTCCCTCCAAACCCCCAGCTACAATGTACCTGTTGGCGGCCGGCCGTGTCGTAGTCCTGCTCATGGTGGTGGGGGAGGGGTGGCGGCTGCGGGTGGCCAGAGAGGCGGGCAGGTTGGGTTTGTCTGTCTGTCTGTTCTCCCCCACCCCAACCACACACACCGTCAACCGTCACCGTCAACCGTGGCAGCGCACAATCTGCGCTTCTTGCTGCGTGTGTGCTCGGCAGGCCCTCCCCCGCACACCAAGGCCGCCGCCCTCTTGTTGCTGCCGCCGGCCTTGATGTGTGGGGGAGGCGGACAGATCTGGCGCAGCTTCTTGATGGTCCTGCACCCATCACACCACGGACAGAGATCACACGGATGAGATGTGTGTGCACGTGTGTGCATGTATGTGTCTGATGGACATACTTGAAGTACGACTGCACGAGTTTCTCCCACTCCTCCTGAAGGGCCTCCTTCTTCATCTACGACACACACACACACCAACCAACCACCCACACCGCCACACAATGACGAGTGAGCCCAGCAGCTGCGGCTGTCTGTCCATCATGTATGTGTGTAATGGGATGGTTCGTGTGGAAACATACACGCATCGCATCGCATCTCCTCTCCTACTCTCGATGTAAGAACGTGGTGTGTGTGTGTGCCGTACCTGGTCTTCAGTGCGGGGGCGATCGCCGCGCTGGTCGCACTTGAAGTAGTCGAAATCCTCCTAATCGGTGACGGACGAGGATGGGGTAAGGAATGTGGAAGCGTACATGCGAAAACACAGCACAGCTACCGTGCTACTGCTCTACGGCGGCCATGACTAATGCCTTCCTCCCAACCTAACTGTCCGTCTCCCTGCCTGTCTGCCTGGCTGGCTGACCGCCCTCCGTCACTCACTCACCTCGTCGGTTGAGACGGGATGGGGCTCCTCGATGTCCTTGCGCAGCCGGTCCTCGACACTAAGGCGGTAGGCGAGGAGGCTGTCGAGCAGGCTGTCAGCCTCCTCGCCACCACCGAGAGCGGAGGGCGGGATCTGTGCCGGCAGCTCGAGCGGCAGCAGACGGGCGAGCTGCAGCACCTCCGTCATCCTGATTGACAGATGCCAGCCAACGATATGCGCAGCCAGGAGGCAGGGAGGAAGGGGGGGATAGTGTGTGTGTGTGTGTAAGGTAGGTGTCGGTGTCGGTGTCGACCGACCTTGTGGCTTGAGGTTTGGTTTCCTTGAGGTTGAGGGCGAGGCAGTCGATGGTCGGGATGCCCGCATCCAGATTCACGGTCTTCTGCACCAAGGATGGATGGCTCCCACCACCACCACTGCTTCTCGTTCTCTGCCGGGCAGGCATAGCATACAGGAGATTGGAATTCGAGGGTTGGTTCCAGTGATGTGTGTGTCTTTGAGTGCAGGCATACGTACCCTCGGTCTCCAGCAGCTTGTTGACTAGGGCCTCTAGCCGAGGAACGGACACCGTCTCCATTCAGTTGGGGTTGTCTGTCTCCTCGTCGGTCAGGAGGGGTGTGATGAAGTCGTCCTCCTTATCCGTCGCCCAGACGATGAGGAAGTCGATCGAAGCTGCGCGCTCCAAATCTGGTGGACACATACAGGAAAGCAGAACAAAAGGCTCTCTTTGCCTTCTGCCCTTTGCCTTCTGGCTGTGTGTCCGTCTGATGGGTGGGAGGACACACGTACCGTCGCTCGCGTCGGGCGCACCGGCGACAGACGACTTGTGGGCCTGCAGACACACCGAGACACATTCACAACCACCAATCATCACCCCATGCACAGACTCTGTGCATTTCTGTTTTCCATAGACGAACGTCTTTACGTCTCCTGTTGGTCTGCGGGGCATTGCAATGAAGACAATCGCCGTCAGAATATAAAATGTAGACAACGATGACCTGAAAGCAGGCAGGGACAGAAAGGGCCATGAGCAGCTGGGCCTTTCTGTGGCAACACAGAGACACACGTGGCTAAACGACGACGGGCGGGCGGCCCACAACGACACCGACCTGGTTGGCTGCAGCAGCTTCGTCCGCACCGTTGGTGGCATCCTGGCCCTTCTCACCAGCCACTACACCCCTCGACCCGCCACCAGCACCACCACCGACACCACTACCTCCAACACCAACATCGGCGGGCGACCCACTTGACACACACACACACACACATCGGACAGACACAGCAGGTGTGTGGTGCTGCTGGTGGGAGTGGTGTTGTTGTTATAACGGATTGGGGCTGCTGGGTCGAGTCGGCCGCCGGTGGCGTACTCCATCTCGTCGGCCGTGCTGATGCGGATTTTGCGACCGAGCATCTCCTGAAACACATGGAGGCCTGCAGTGTGTGCCTGCGTGTGATTGAAGATTGTGTGTGAATGTCCATGCCCGGTCAAAGTCGCGACGGTTGTCAAACTCGACATAACCTGAGTGTGCGCGACATGTGATAAGGCGGTGAGGCGCCTGGGGGTGTGTGCATGTGTGTGGTCGCTCACATCTGCCGAGGTTCTTGACAGGGTTGCGATGGTCGGCTTCCAACATCATGTGGTCCACCTGCACAGCCACACACGCACACACGGCACACACACACACACATACACACACACAGAGAGAGAGAGAGAGAGAGATGCACAGACAAGGTGGGCGTGGGAGGGAGGGTTGTATGGGTGGCTGTGCTGTGCTGTCTGTCTGACTCTGCAAGGTGTAAGGAAGACTTCCACGTCGCGTTTGGTGGCCTCGTAGTGGATGTTGTCGAGGATAAGGCCATACGGGCCTTTATACTGACCAACCAACACACGAACCACTCGATGGATGGATGTCCATGCCTCCTCAAAGTCGCGACGGTCGTCGAACTCGACATAGCCAGAGTGAGCAAGGCGGTGAGGCGCGTGGGCGTGTGTGCGTGTGCGTGTGCGTGGTCGCTCGCATCTGCCGAAGTTCTTGCTAGGGTTACCAGGGTCGCAATCAAGCCTCATGTGGTCCACCTGCACAGCCACACACACGCACACACGCACACACGCACAGAGAGAGAGAGAGAGAGACAGAGATGCACAAAGGCCATGAGATAGATGGTGGGGCGTGTGGGGGTCTGCCTGTGTGTGTGTGGTGTGCTACGTGGGAAGCAGCTCGGTTGGTGTGCTGGGCGCCTGATGAGACATACACAGACAGCCATGCGTGGTCAGCCGGATCCCCCGGCCCCTGCTCGCGTGTCGCCTTACCTTCACTGAGAGTCGGACCGTACTCACCGTTACTTGCCCATGTGCCAGTCGGCTTCTTCCACGGGCTCCTGGCACCTGATGGATGTCCGCAGCACGAACAGATGTCTACTCACTCCACACACAGAATACGTACCGACATACTCCTGGCTTGCCTGCCTGCTGCCCCCCTCGTAAATTGGATTACGTACCTGTGCCATCCGCCCCGGTGCTTCTCGCGGCTACCTTGTGCCCTGCACCTGCAGCCGGCCCTGCTGCTGTTGGTGATGGTGATGGGTGAGAAATAAGGGACAAGAAAGGTCCATATTTCGAGGGAGATGGTGGTGCGGTGGGCGGTGTGTGTATGTGTGCATTGCATACCGGTGCTCTCGCCCGCGAGTAGCTGCTCGATGATGGCTCGCAGACGGGGGGTGCTCATGGTGTCTCTCCATGCGATGTCGGCCTTCTCCTTGGCGGTCAGCTCCTGTCTGATGGTGTCCATGCCCTTCTCGGCAGCCCAGTCGTCAATGAACCCAAGCAGACTGGCGCGGTCATGCTTGTCGTCTTGGCTGTGCTCGCGAGGGAGGCCGTGTCGTTGTGGAGGAGTGGTTGAGGCAGCCGCTGGGGTGTCGTCTGAGGGCTGGCCATCTGGGGGGGAGCCGGCGGGGGCGGGCGCCTCCGGATCGACAGCCGTGGACGGCGTGCTACCATGAACCTGAATCTGCATACACACATACATACATTGCACATACGCACGGTGAGAGACAGCTTGTTGGTTCGTTCCGTGTGGTGTGTGTGAGGTCTTTCTTTCTTGTTTTTTCCATCCCCCATTCACTCACTCACTCACTCACTGACCTTGTGGATTAGGGCTTTGTTGTCGACAGGAGCACTAGGAGGCGGGGGCGGCGGTGCAGCTGCCGAAGCGGCGGCACTTGCGGCGCCAGTGTGACCGCCCTCGGCTGCCGATTGTCCTTTGCCAGTCCCACGAGGCACCACCAACTCGCTACGCTTCGCTGAGTGACACAGCACAGCACACAACGAACACACACACATACGACCACATTAATTAATGTGTGCACATACATGATGGATGTGATGTGCGCATCTGTATGTGTAGTGAGTGTATGGGCTGTGCTCTTATGTGCGTCGTTGTGTTTCCCGTCCGCACGCACCTTATCGTCGGTGTCAGTTGGGGGGCTCTTGGGCTTGTCGCTTCCGACGCTCTCACCATCAACATCAACACGAGCCCCACCGCCACCAGCACCAGCAGTGGCACCTTAGCTCTCGCCCGGGGGGTCCTTGCGGGCGTGTCGTGGACACACAAACCGACCAACGAACCAACGAACCAGACAGAGACAGACAGACAGAAAAAAGGACACACATCCATCGATGCGATGCAGCGATCGACCACAGCTCTCTGACTGTCTGTCTGTCTGTCATGATTCGTCCCGTCCCCTCTCACCTGGTCCCCAGGCGACGACAGGTACAGGTGGCCTCTTGGCTGCACCAGCGACAACCCACCCTCACGCACCCCGCCGCCCAGCACCCCACGCGACTCGTCACAGTCGTCGCCCCTCTCCCCACCGACCTCCTCCTCTTCCTGCTGCTCACATGGTCCTTGCTGGGGCTGATCTGTCGGCCCACAAGGGCGGGGAGGGCTTCTGCCTTCCGAGGCAGCAGCACCACTCCCACCGCCCCCACACATCACCATTCGGGCAAAGGTTGCCCATTCTGCTCACAACTGCCCCTTTTCCCTTGTCCTTGTTCTCCTGCTCATCGGTGTCGTCCACAGCAGGTGCTGGTGCGTTCACACCAACTTCCAATGGACTGCTGTGACAAAAAGATGACAGTGATTCTCACAGTGAGTCGGATGGATGTTTGCTTACTCGTGAGTTGGCTGAGGGTGCTCTTACTCACGGCAACACCGTCTGATGAATGGGGAGACACATAGCAGACAGACAAGCATACACGCACTTTGCCATCTCATCCACGACGATTGGGTCTCAGGTGGCCCAGATTAAGCGAAAGTGACCCGATGACGGTGTCGCGTCTGAATGATACGTGGAAGGCACACACAGACTTCCCTTGCCCGTGTTGCTCATTGCTTTGCCTACGTGTCCTGTTGGTGTGCGGGGCATTGCAATGAAGACAATCGCCGTCAGATATAAAATGTAGACAACGATGACAGCTGAAAGCAGGCAGGGACAGAAAGGGCCATGAGCAGCTGGGCCTTTCTCTGGCAACACAGAGACACAACGACACCGACTCTCGATGTAAGAACCTGGTGTGTGTGTGTGCTGTACCTGGTCTTCAGTGCGGGGGCGATCATTGCGCTGGTCGCACTTGAAGAAATCCAAATCAGCCTAATCGATGACGGACGAGGATGGGGTAAGGTGGAGGCGTACATGTGAAAAAACAGCACAGCTACCGTGCTACTGCTCTACGGCGGCCATGACTAATCCCTTCCTCCCAACCTAACTGTCCGTCTCCCTGCCTGTCTGCCTGGCTGGCTGACCGCCCTCCGTCACTCACTCACCTCGTCGGTTGAGACGGGATGGGGCTCCTCGAGGTCCTTGCGCAACCGGTCCTCGACACTGAGGCGGTGGGCGAGCAGGCTGTCGAGCAGGCTCGCCACCAACGGGAGCCAGGTAGGAGGGCGGGATCTGTGCCGGCAGGCGGTGCGGCAGCAGACGGGCGAGCTGCAGGACCTCCGTCATCCTGATTGACAGATGCCAACCAACCATATGCGCAGCCAGGAGGCAGGGAGGGAGGGGGGATAGTATGTATGTGTGTGTGTAAGGTAGGTGTCGGTGTCGGTGTCGACCGACCTTGTGGCTTGAGGTTTGGTTTCCTTGAGGTTGAGGGCGAGGCAGCCGATGCTGGGGATGCCGTGGGGCTGCGTGCCGTCCCCCTGCACCGGGGCATGCAGGTCCCGGACACACAAGACAGCCAGACCTGTTAACAGCTCGACTGCACTACTCCTCGTCGGCTTGTCACTCACCTCTCTGCGCCTGTTTGCCCGCCTGATGGCACGGTTCTCCAAAGCCTGAGTGAGACAGCCAGCCAGAGCCAGCAATGACACACATGCCTTTGCGAAAGCCCCGTCAGCGTGTCTTACCCCTGGTGCAGCCGTGGTGAGGGGGCGCTGGCCGTGACAGAGGACAATCTGATGTGGGCACACACAACGCAGAGTCGCATCAGTCGGATGGATGGCTGGGTCGTTGGTTGCTTCTTAGATTATGTGACCGAGTCGTAGTGCAGGCCGCCGTGGTGTGAGAGCCGCATTGGGTGGGGATTGGAGGCGCTGCACGTCTCGTGACGCAACTCTGAAAGGACAGCGCAGCGACAGAGGGCGGGCACATGACATGCCTGTGTGAACGTGTGTGTGTTTTGCTGCCTAGGTGTCTGTCAATCAAGGTGGCTACCGTACCGTTGCTGGATGCGTCGTATCGATACTACGGCGGTAGGGAAGCAGAGAACCGTCATGAGATAGATAAAGGGGCTCTGTCGCGGCCTGTTTGTCTGTCTGGCTGAGCGCGTTGTTGTGTACCTGCCGCTGCTGCCGCTTTGAGACCTTCTGGCCCCCTGAAGGACAGAAAGGAGAGAGAGCCATGAAGGTCAATGCGCAGATGGATGGATGTGAGTCGCCTCTCCCTGCCCCCTGCCGTGTGAATGGGGGTGTACCTTGGCCCAGTGTCGGCCCCTCTGATTTGGGTGCCTCGACTGCATCCCACACGCCCGACGCCCCTGATATCCACAGCAACAGAATGTTCACATACACAGATCCGTACCATTCACAGATGCATGACCGTGCTTCCCACCTCTCTCACGCTCTCCCTCCTTGCCCGTCTTCTCCTTGTCGGCCTTCTCTTTCTTGTTCTCTGCTCGACAGGCATAGCATACAGGAGATTGGAACTCGGCGTGGGCTGGTTCCAGTGATGTGTGTGTCTTTTGAGTACAGGCACACATACCCTCGGCCTCGAGCAGCTGGTTGATCAGGGCATGCAGGCGGGGGATGGGCGCAGTCTTTTTCCACTCGGGGTCGGCCGCCTCCTCCTCCTTCAGAAGGGGTGTGATGGTGTCGTCCTCGTGGTCGGCCGCCCACTATATAGCTCGACCGATCCGTCTGATGGACACACATAACTGTCTGCCTTCTGCCTCTTTCTCTGGCTGTTTGTCTGTCTGATGGGTGGGAGGACACTCGTACCGCTCTTTGTGTCAGGCGCGGCCGGGGCAGTCGACTTGCGGGCCTGCAGACACACCGAGACACATACACAACCACCAATCGTCACCCCACGCACAGACTCTGTGCATTTATGTGTTTTTTATAAACGAACGTGCCTACATGTCCTGTTGGTGCGCGGGGCATTGAAGACAATCGCCGTCAGAATATAAAATGTAGACAACGATGACCTGAAAGCAGGCAGGGACAGAAAGGGCCATGAGACGCTGGGCTCTGTCTGTGCGTCTTCGTGTTACCTGGGCGGGCTGCTGTGGCGGCCGCTGCTGCTGGTGCTCGCCGGGCTTGCCCTCGCCCTCACTCTCCCCGTCCTCGTCCGTGTCATCCCCTGACAGACAGGCAAAGGCATCCATTCGGCACACGGAGAGGTGAGTAGTGTGGCCTAGCTGCCCATCCACCCCATCCTCGTGTTAGATCTCACCCCCTAGCCCGAGGCCGCCTTGTCGCTCCTGTTGGTGGGGCTGCTGGGGGGGTCCTGTCGTCGCCTGAGGGCGGTGGAGAGGCTTCTGCCGCCAACAGCAGCAGCACCCCTCCAACCGCCCCCACACGACACCGCCTGGGCAAAGTCTGTTGCCCATCTCGCTCGAACTCTCCTCCCCCGATCCAGATCGGGCCAAGGTGAGTCTGATCGAGGAGAGGTCGAAGTCGGCGAGCAGGACGGTGCCGCCGCGCATGAAGAAGTTTTCTGGCTTCAGGTCACAGTGGATGAGATTCCTGTGACAAGAGAGCACATCCGGTCGGTCATGTGTGTCAGGGTTGCAAGGGATGCTCAAGACTGATCTCTTCCTGCTCACGACATGTGCACGGCCAGCACCCCCTCGCATATCTGACCGAACAACTCGGCTGCCTGCGCTTCGCTGAGAGGACCACTGCATGACAACACAGATCGAGATGAATCCATGAGTCGAGATCTCTCGATTTCTCGTTTCGGTCTTGTCTTTGTCCACCTGCGGATCATGAATGAGTTGAGGGTCTTGTCACACTTTGGTGTCACCATGTACAGAAATCCGCGCTCGTATCGGATGTCCTTCACCGGTAGGATGTTCTTGTGCGATGAGACGTTCTGAAAGGCCATCTCCCCAGCAACCTGCACGAAGTAATCAATCCCACCTCATGGAACACGCCGTGTGAGGACATGGATCACTCACGCGGTCTTGCGTGCACACTGCGTGATCGCAATCAATGACGGCTGCTCCGGATCGGGCTCAAATGACGCTGCAAGTCATCACATGCACGCAACACACATGATGACACGTGTTCTTGTCTTTTTTCGTCAGTAATACAACAAGAACGACAGCCGAACGTGGAACTGCACGACAGGCACACGCACACATACATACACACACAGAGAGAGAGATCAGGGGTCAAGTGGAGCTCATCCTTCCGTTCGGTCAGCCCCTTCGAGCGACTGTATATATATGTGTGCGGGCGGACCTTGATTTGATAGAGTTGCGATGTTCTGAAGGTGAGCTCAGCAACCGGAACAGCACGTGATTGGGCACCTCCGTTGCCGTTTGCAGAAGGGGCGTCGATGAATCATCTCAGAAAGGAGCAAAACCTGAACCACCTGAATCTGAATGCCCAGCGATACAAAATACCAAGCGTCTTGTCTCTCCGTCGAGAAAAAGCAAAATGTCGCCGCGGCGCCGATTGAGATCATCCTGGAAAGACTGGTCTGTGAAGTAGTAAAGATAAAGTCAGTGTGCAACCGTACAACAGATTCATATTTCACCTGTGAGGACTTTGTCGAGAAAAGGTCAAACTTCTTGACGGTTCGGATACCCTTCGTCAAGGAGACCAAAGCTTCACCTGCACATCAACATGCCAACAGGGCATCAACATGCCACGCAGCTATCCTTGAACATCCTCCGTACACCATATCGTCACCGCAGCCAACTCAAAGGCATGACACGTGTACTCACCTGTACTCACCTGAAAGGATGCTTCGAAGACAAAAGAAGTCGTGCGCGCGCTCAGCTGACGCCAGACAGGTGTCAGGCGGTCGCCACCCGCTCAGGGCACGGCGGGTGGCGCCACCGGCTGCGGCCTCGCTCACGGCACGGCGGTGGAGGACTCCTCCAGGACGAGTTGGGAGGGGTGGGAGGGGATGGGGCGGACCACACAAGCCAAAAAACAGGTGAAGAGAAAAAGGAACGGGGGATCTGTGGCTGAGAGAAGGCTGAGAAACCGAACTCGGACAGAAATTGTGAATGTCCGGAGTTGCTCACAAAATAAAATGCGGTCTTGTCTCGTCCTGTCTCTCCGTCGAGAAAACAAATCTCGCCGTCAAAATCTCAGCCATCATGCAGGCTTTCGACGGCAGCAGATGTGCTTCTGACGCCCGACATACCCTCTCACTGGGGGCTCAGTCTCCGCCCCCAGAGGAGGCGATCGCATGCATCGAAACTTTCCCTTCTGACTTCTCCATCATGGCTGCATGGATCTGTTTGGTCTCCTTCGCGATGGTCTGCAAAGTCGCCGAGGGGAGTCTGGCGGGGGACTGTCGCGCTGCAAATGATACTTTTCTGCAGCCCCTGACGGACGCGGGTAGGTATGGACGGAGGGGCATTGCAGAGTGGTTCATTTGGCCGCCCTGTGCCATGCCATTCCTGCTACCCTTAGGTGTTGGGAGGAAAGGCGGAGAACCGCTGCCCAATATATTGCCGCTGCCAACGTGCCTGCCTGCCTGCGTGCTGTCAATGTCGGTGAAGGGGTGTCTATCGTGGTGTGCCTGCCACACGAAAGAGATGCCATCCATCGATATGTGGATTTATATTTGGCACAAGTTGGGTGGGTGCATTTGTGTGTGACGCGACATGCGTGTGACGCGATCTGTTCTGACGCAACATGCGTTTGTCAGTCGATTGAACGACACCTTCGTCCATCAATCCATCCATCCATCCATCCACACAGCACACCGCAGTGTGTCCGAGCCCCTTTGTCTGGCCGACAGACTGGCACACCACGACGATCACGCGCGACACGCAGACAGGCCCATCCACGCGCCGCAGTCGCGCCCATCGACGGGCCTGCCAGTCGGCCGCCGGAGTGGCTATGGAAAGCTTACGCGCACAGCCCATCGCTTCCACAAGCGATGAGTGCACAACGCGCCCCTTACATAGCCACTCACAGCGCGACATATCAGCAAAACCGTCCCAGCCACCCACAATCCCCCGACACCACCCAGACACGCAGAGTCCATGGTAGACACGATCACACGACACGCGCTCACACAAGGCCCCAAATGGCCGACGTGCGCCAGGAGGGGCTCGGCAGGTGCTGTGGGTGGGCTGCTGGACGGCGGGTGTGCTAATGGCTGCATGGTTGCATCATCTGCACCGCCCACCGTTTGAGATATGCCCCCACCTCCGCCGCCTTCTGTCGGCAGTATTCTGCGGCTTGTTTTGCCGCCTCTCGGCAGTTGTCGGCGGCCACCTTGCAGCCGTCTCGGCAGCCTTGGCATGCTGTGCATGCGCTGGCACCGAACGAGTGCAGCTGAGAGAAAAAGTCGGAATCCTCTCTCGTGACTCTCCAGCCGCCCTCCTCGTATCTCTGCCAATACTCCATGTCCCCCGTGGCCTCGTTCTCGTACCAGCCCTCCTCCCTGATGCCAATCCTCGCCGCAGACGCCGCCGTAACGACCTTGGGGTACAAGTCGGCCGGCCGCTGAGGGGTGTGGTGGGCGGGAGGGGGCGGGTAAGGGAAGCGCGGGTAAGGGAAGGGCGGGCGGTGACATCCAAGTCGGTGCTGCACATGAAGAGACGGCATCGGGTGCGTGGAGGAAAAAGATGTAGCGTGTCGTGCGTACTCACCTGTGGCATTTTTGCGGCCGTAGGAAGCCTCTCTTGACCCGTCTCCCACTTGTGTACCTGCGAAGGCAGACAGACAGAAGCGAGACACCATCAACAATCACCTCAACTGGCAGGGAGCTGGCCTTTCGTCCTTACATAAGCCACACGTCTTCTCCACTCATCATCATCCCTGGGGTTGGGCGGCGCATAGTGGGGGTCGGCGTTCCGTGCATAGATGACCCTCCGTGGCTGCATCTCCACACACACACACAAACAGAGAGAGAGAGAGAGAGCAGATGTGGGAGCAAAAAGGGGCAGTGGACGGCATCAAGTGTGCTCACCTCTGGCGTGTCGTACGCGCGCCTCTTGTTGGAGTCACTGAGGACCGCGTAGGCCTCATTGACGGCCTGGGAGTGGCGGGTGCTGGGCTCTTTGTCGGCAGCGGGTGTCTTGTCGGGGTGGCCGCCCCTCTGCACCACACACACAGACACGGGAGGAGAAGAAGAGACGGGGGATGAGCCACTGGAGCGACACCATTGCAAAAGAGCCTCTCCTGCCCTCCATTCACCCCCGTGTGTGCGATTAGTCGCGTCACCCACCAGCAGAATGGCATCGCGCGCCTTCTTGATGTCGGCCTGGGTGGCCGTGGGGTGGACGCCGAGGAGGGCGTAGTAGCCCTTCGGGTCGTATTGGGGGGTGGGCAGGGGACATTGACATCTCAACAATGACGTTCGGTAGCAGCAGCAGACGGTGCTTCTGTCGCAGGAATCTCTCCAGTCTCGCGGGGGGGGGGGGTCGCAGTCTCCGCCCCCAGAAAGGCGATCGCATGCATGTGTCCGAGGCAGTGCATATCTGCACACAGCACAGACCATGGCTGCGTGGATTCCCTTCATCTCCGGGTCGCTGGTTGCGATGGTCTGCAAAGTCGCCGATGGGAGGCTGGCGGTGGACTTCAGCACTGCGAATCACACTTTCCTGCAGCCGCTAACCGACGCGGGCATGCACAAAGGGGCACTGCCTTTGGCCGCCGTGTGGCATGCCACTCCTGCTACTCGATCAGGTGGTGGGAGGCAAGGCGTACGTGGAGAAGTGCTGCCAGCCCGTCACCACAGCAAACCAACAGCCATCCCAGCAGCTAAGGTACGGCTCTCCACATGCAAAGATGTGAGCCCCTCCATTGCACATCTGCGTGTGTTTGTCCTGCAGGTTCTCGGAATGCTTGAAAAGACCGCCTCGAGTGGCCGCAGAACCCGGGAGATGGAAACGCAGCTCAGCCTGGACGGGAACGTCATCGAGGTGGGGCTTGTGTCTTGCAGCAAAGATGGCCATGATGAATCTCCCGACCCCTCATTGCCTCTGGCCTGCAGGATGCATTTGACCTCGACAATCCCAAGGCCAAAAGGCGATATCTGCTCCTGCTGACCCTGCCGCCGATCATCATGCTGGCGCTGGTCATCATGCAAACTGTCCGCATTCCAGTCGCCCAATTCTGCTCCATCAAGCCTCGGTCACTCAGAGGTCTCCTCGGCCTCTTGCTGTCTCCATGGGCCCACTGGAATCTCTTCCACTTTCTCAAGAATATGATTAGTAATCGATGTGATGTGAGCAGCAGCTGGTGTTTTAATGGTCCGCTTCGTGCAGGTTGGTTTGGTCTGGCTACTGGGATGGCGACGTATGGTATTTCAGTGTTTGCCCTTGCGAGTGTCTTCATTTCACTGGTCGGCGGGCTGCTCGTCTGGCTGCTGTCTCCAAGACCAGACAGCAACCATGCTGGCCTGTCGGGTGTGCTCTTTGGGTACCGATGTAGAACGGAAGAGACAGACTTCTTGTGACGGCATTATGTCTTTTGTGCCTCGTGCTCTGTGTCCGTCAGCTACTTGGCGTTTCTCATCAGTGAGGTGAGGCAAGAGTGGGACACGTACTCGGGCATGGGGCGCGCACTGTTCCGACTTTGGTTGCGGCAGGTGATATGGGTGAGGCCGATTGACTGGATAGCTGTGGCGGTGCTCCTGGTCACTATCTTCCTCTACGGGTCCATGGTCTGTGCCATGTTCTGCCAAGTACTCAGCCTCAAGAGCGGTGGGTGAGACGCCTCGAAAAGGCCTCTGCACAAACACAGATTAGCGAGGCTTTGTCGTTATTTCCTGCCTGTCTGCTGTGTCTCTCACCAGATGTATCGTGGGAGAGTCATGTGTTCGGCTTCGCTGCTGGGGTGCTCTTCACGTGGCTGTACTTTGCAAAGTTCCACACACTCGCTCCTGAAGTAAGGTGGTGTGTGGATTGGATGCGTGTGTGTGTGTGTATGTGGTTGTGTGGCTTCATCAGTCGAAGACGGCCATATCGTTCCAGAGCGGCAAGGGGTCCAACCAACTCTACAAGCTCTTCTCGTGACGACGGATGCATCCATGGATACGTGGATGGATGGCTGCACATTTGTGCAATGTGATTGATGCCATGTGCACTTTCGTCGTCGTTTTACTGATGGGATTACTTCATTCAATCTCGCAGACACACACACAGAGTAGACAGAGATGGTCTGACTATGGTACAAGATGACAAATCACGTGACAAATCGCGACCCCATAAACGAGCCATAATACCCCCACTCGCACATCGCAAGTGTCCATTCCTCCACACACCCAAGAAACCACCTCCCTCACTGCTGCTGCCTCTCCTTCTCCTGCACCTTGTCCCTGATGGCATTCTTCACACCCCGCACCGCCCGTCGGGTGCGGGAGTCGATCATGAGGGCAACCATGCCCACAATGCACCCCACAGCTACGGCCGTAGCCAGCTCGCGGGGCATTGGCAGCAGGGTGTTGACGCTGGCGGGCTTGACCTTCCTGACGTTGTCGGCCGTCTTGTATGTGATGCTCTGGGAGGTCGGCACAAACGGGGAGGTAAACAAGGGGGTGATGACGGCACCTGAGCGACCACGCGATCAAGGCAGGAAGCACCCAACACATGTAGGCGTCCTGCCATCTGCTGCTTTCAGTTTTCGGTCACCTCCGAAGGCCCACTTGTCGACATCTTTTTGCCCCTCATTCTTGCTGAGTCGAAAGCCTCTGTCATCAATTCCAGGCTCGTCCAGCGACGCTATGCGGAACATGACAGGGAACCAAAGCGCCGTGCTGACACCCAGGCACACGTAGCCCTGACATGCCAGTGCATTGCAAGCCTTGCAGCTGGTCAATCAATACACATAACTAACGGCCACTTACAGCATTCCAATAGTAGGGCTGGAATGGGAGGCGCCGCACACCGAGATAAATGGCAGTGCCCGCACAGCCTGATGGACGCAGCATACATGTTCTCAGCATCAGACCAGACAGAGATCTCATCCTTCGCCGCATACATACCGAGGACTGCTCCCATCTGCCACACTTTCTTGGTGCAGTGCCATATCAGCACTCGCCCAGGGTACCTGCAATGCATTGATTGCAGCGAGCGAGGCATGACAGACACGTGTGAGATCTGTTCTCCCGTGTGTGTGTGGATGCTTACTGCGGCATCTCTTCATCGTAGTTCTCGACATCGGCCTCCCTGACAGACACAGAAGCCAGCCAGCACGATGCAATGAATGTGAAGATGTGCGCGTCGCTCACCGATGGAGTTCCGTGAGCAAATTCACCATTCCGCTTCACTATACCCCTCGAGATGCTTGGACGAGTCACCTTCCTTTCCTCCCCGTCGAGGAGCTGCGAGCTTAGCCGCGAAGGAGGGGTGTCGGGAAGAACACGAGATGGTGCTGCTGCTTGGTGAGACGGTGTGTTGATTCTGCTGCTGTGAGCTAAACTTGAGGAAGCTGCAGTCAGCATGAGCAGCGGAAGTCAAGCAAGTGCAGCCGCATCTCACAGTGCAACCCCCGCCGGCCGTGGGGACACAAACGACGTCACGCTTGATGAGCTGAGAGGGGCTGTGGATAATCTTATCCGGCTATTCCGTCCCAGCGGCACTTCTACCGTCACTTCTGCAATCATCAAAAGCGAGCGTATCCACAACCTCTCGAACCTGCTGGACCGGGTGCTTCCAGAAGACATTGATGATGAGTCCCAAAGACCTGAGGTCGTGCGCAGACTGCTGACGGAGGCATCGGCTCGCTTGAAGACCCTCGCTTACTGCCTGGCTGAGAGCCTCGAAGATGAGTCCGGGTGGACGCCGGACGGCATTAACATCGCCGCTTCGCGCCTCTTGTTGACTCTCTCGCAATGCGGATGTGCCTTCCGTATCGGCCGAGAAAAAGCAAGTCGACTATTTGTCACTATGGAGAGGGTGCTTACCTCATCGTCGCATCCAACAGTCCTCAACCGTGCTTTCATATATCTCGCCAGCCTCTTCATGCCTCACTTCATGGCCAGCGCTGCATGGGCCGAGCGTCTGGACACTTATCGCGAGATACTCATTTCGGAGCATGGATCTGTCATCGATCAAGCTGAGGCTGTTGTGAGAATGATGGGTGATGCTGACGGGGCTGGACGAGCAGCTGCTGCCTTCTTGAGGTCGCTCTGCAGCAGGGCGAGCCCTCCATCCTATTGGATGCGTCTCTTTGGCGTACTTGTGGATATCGTGCTAAACGAGGCGACGCCGGTGTTCGATGGCAGACCTTTAATGGGATGCATTATGGAGACACTCGTGATGAACTTCCCGCTTGCAAACGAGGATGGCGAGCGTGTTGGTAAGAGGGAATGAGTGGGGAGATCAGGGCATCACAAGACAGAGACATCACTACTCTGCACACACCACATGAAGCTGTTTTTGTTTTGTTTGCTGTTTTGAGTAACAGTTTGTGAGCATTCTCGTGCGCATGTTCGTCAGCTTCACGAGTACGAGCAGCCGTTTCAGATGCATGTTGCCAGCAAGATCGATCCCCTCCTGAGTGCGTTGACATCATCTACTATCGGGGCAGTCGTTGACCTCGTCCAGTGGAAAGCCCTATGTCTACTCGGCTCCATCGTTCACATCCTTGAGTACGTAGACGAAGAATCTGACGACATATCGGCGTGGGGAGTTCAATGCAGACGTGGTGGGTGAGAAAAAAATCAACTGCAACCGACACTCACTTCTCGGTTGTCCTTCTTTGTATGTGCAGCTCTTAAGAGGATTGCAACAACAATGTCAGCCGACAGCAACACACTCGATGCCATCGCTAGACTGATCGCCACGAGGCCCGAGGCAGCTAGGTTTGACTGGGACGTAATGATGGGCCTCTCACTACCGGCAAACATCACGTGTAAGCACCTATACTGGATGGATCGATCGATTGTCATGTACTGTGCCTTTGATTGTGTTTGCTGCTCAGATGGATTCGAATTAGGTGGCCGTGAGTCAGACAAACGCTATCTACGGCTGGTCAAGGCCAACTTCGTCCCTGCAATTACGAGTGTGCTATGCGACCGTAGGCTGATGACGTCAGATAAGTGGGGCCATGAGGTGGCATTCATCGCTTTTCATCTCATAGAGGAGTTCTCCGGGCTCGATCTGAAGGTAAGAAAGTCTAGAATCGCATATATATTGGGGGGAAACTGTCATTAACCGTAACACTCGTCTGTGTGTCCGTGATACTCATACAAATACAGTCCCATCAGCACGCAGAGTCAAACAGGCTCAAGGGGAGGAGGGATCAATCCCCACCCCATCAGCACACCCCAGTCCCGCAAACCCTCCCCTCCCTCCCCCACGCAGACAGAAGCTAGTCGCACGCGCGAGGGCGATAGACAAGCGAGAGCGAATCCATCCAGACACATGAC